AGGCCTCCCCTCCACCTGCCAAGCCCACAAGCGCACAAAGGAAGCGGAGGGAGGAGTTGGGGACCACCCAGGCGCATGTTGTCAGCAGCTGGCCTGATTGCTCACAGGTCAGAGCCTGTGGGCAGCCACCTGGGCTGCCTGCAGGAATGGATATGACATGCTTCTTGCTGCTCCCAGCCTCTGTGCAGCCACAGCTCTGTCACCTCTCCAAGTCCCCATCATCGCCTTCCCACCCACAACACACACACACACACACACACACACACACTCAACTCACACACAGAGGACTGCACCACATTTACTCCTTTTAGTCCATTCTATCCCCACAGCCAGAGGGGGCTTTCAAAAGTAAATCCAATCATGTCTCATGTTTACTCAAAACCCTCCAGTAGATGCCCTGATCTAAAAACAAAATCCAACCCCCTTACCCTAGCCAACAAGGTCTGGCATGATCTGCCATTCTCATCATCCACCTCCAGCATGGGGGTTAAGATCCTGGCCTCAGAGAGAATCTGCCTTGGATAGAATTCTGCCCCCCCATCCCCCGCCTCCATTCATTCAAAAATGTTTATTGAGCACCTAATATAGGCTAGGTACTGTTCTAAGCATTTGGGAGAGATCAGTAACAAACCAGACAAAGGTCCCTGGCCTCATGAAGCTTCCTTTATAGCAGAGGGAGGTTAACAAGAAATACAAGTGTCCTAGTAGGTAGCTCAGTTGACTAGGGCATTAACCCCATATACCAAAGTTTCGGGTTCAGTCACCAGTCCGGGCACATAACAGAACCAACCACTGAATACATAAATAAGTGGGACAACAAACTGATGTTTCTCTCTCTCAAATCAAGAAATAAAATTTTAAAAATACAAGTAAGTAAATTATACAGCATGCTTGAAAATGACAAATGTTATTTTTAAACAAAAGAAAAAGTAAAGCTAAGGAAGTTGGTCAGGAGTACTGGGAGGAGTGGGGGCTTGCATTTTCAAAATAGGGTGGTCAGGGTAAGCCTCATTAAGAAGGTGGCATTTAAGCAAAGACTTGTAGGAGGTGAGGGTGGAAGAAACGTAGACATCAGGGGAAAGTGCAGGCCGAGGGAGCAGCCAGTGCAAAGGCCCTGAGGTGGGACTGCACCTGGTATGTGTGAGGGACAGAAAGGAGGTGGGAGAGAGGTGGGGGATGCCTTAGAGAGGTAGGGCAGCTCGTGTGGGGCCTTGTGTGACTCGGTGAGGAGTTTGGCTTTTACTGAGTGAGATGGGAGTGTTGGACGGTTTTGACCATAAGGGAGTGGGAGAGGCAGAACCAGGAAGGAGAGGAAGCCAAGCAGGGTGCCTTGTGGGTGGCTGCTTCAGCCTTATCCCACAGGGGAACTCTGGGGGGTAATTATACCCCCGCGTTATCCACCCACACCCATGCCAGCAGCCCAGGCAAATGGTGGGCTTTCAAATCCCTGAAATGATGGGGTACAGCTTGTGGGGACAGTTAGTCACCCACGACGCTCCAGACGCCTGAGGGCAGTCCTCCCAAGGAGAGAAGCGGTGCTGGTTGCTGAACACTTACCCCAGGGAGGCTCACAGAAATGGTAAATAGGGGTCCAATGGGAATGGGTGACGCATCGTTCTTGTTGGCTCCCGTCCCCAAACACCAGAGCCCCAGCACCACCGCCCTTTTGGCCTGGGTTTGGGGTGGGTAAAGATGGGAGGCACACCCCAACGTGACCAGGTAGAGTTTCTCTGGTTAGAAAAGACTTATAGGTACCGCTCCCACCCAGGACTGCAGAGGGATTCACGTTCTGCAATATCCCGACCCTGTGGCTGTCCAGCCTTACATACCTTCTGGGATGAGGTACTACTTAGCTCTGTTCACCTTTGGATAGTTTGGGTTGTAGAAAGTTCTGCTTCATGTTGAACCCACTCACTCATTCAGTAAACATCAACTGAGCACCTGCTGTGGGTCAGGCACCATTCTAGGTTCTGGCGACACAGCTGCAAACAAGACAGGCGAGGTCCCTGCCTTGAGGAGCTCCTGACTGGAGAGGGAGACGACTAGAGAAAAAAGATGGTGTGGTAAGTGCAGTGGTGGGGAAGCCCCAGAAGCTGTGAAGGCCAGAGGGGACTCTTGACTGTGGGGGGAGGAGGTGACACCAAGCTGATAAAGGGGAATATGTAGTAGTTCCGTGGGTACAAAGGTATAGGAAAAAATTAATCCAGGCTGATGGAGGAATGTATGCAAAGTCCCTGGAATCCCACCAGTGCTCACCATCCCCACTGCCACCCTGGTTCAGTGATCATCCTATCTTACCTGGGTGGTTGTAGCAGTCTCCTCTTGGGTCTCTTACAGAGGGGCAAAGAAGCTGGGGCATGTAGCCACAAACTCTTCTCATATATATATATATATTTGATTTCAGATAGGAAGGGAGAGAGAGAGATAGAAATATCAATGATGAGAGAGAATCATTGATCAGCTGTCTCCTGTGTGACCCCTACTGGGGACTGAGCCCTCAATCTGGTTATGTGTCCTAACCAGGAATTGAATAACGACCTCCTGGTTCATAGGTCAATGCTCAATCACTGAGCCACATTGGCCAGGCTCCTCTCTCTTCTTGGTTGAGGGCAACTCCTGTGGGCATTAACTTGCTGCATTCCCTACTCAACCTGCATTCATGAGCAGAGAGAAGCAGGAAGCTGGAGCATGTGCAGCAGTGTCTGCATGTGAACTCCAATTTGGGCAGGGCACCTACAGCCCCTTCTATAGGCCCACATGTTCCGTGCCTCATTTCCCTTTCTGACCTTATCGTCTACCTTCTCCCCCTTGCTCATTCAGTTCCACCTACACTGGCTTTGCTGTTCTCCCAACTTCCAGGGCATTTGCATCCTGTTCCCTCTGCCTGGAATGCTCTTCCCCCAGGTATCCACATGGCTCACCTTACCCTCCTCCACCTCTGCTCGAATGACAGGTCTTCAGAGAGGCCCTCCCTGACCACCTTATCTCAAAGAGCCCCTACCCCATCCTACCCCATCATTTCCTCCCCACCTTGCCCTGCTCTATTGTTCTCCAGAGTTCTTATCCTCACTTAATATGATATATTTACTTGTTCATATGTTTATTGTCTGACTCTTCCACCAGACTGGAAGCTTCTGAGGGCAATGACCATGTCTGGGTTTGCTCATGGTGGAATCCCTAAAATAGGGCCAAGGTAGTCAGGAAATATCTGTGAAATCGATGGTTCTGAAACAGAAGTGGTTCTGAAACAAGAGTCCTTCCAGATCTGACTATCTGTCTCGGATATGACCTCCCCAAAACTTCCAGTGGCCGCCAACAAGCTGCCAATGTAAAGCCTCCCTCAACTCAGCCTTTCCCCATCTAGGCCCATCTGGCAGGGCTCAGTGATTGGCCTGGTCCAGCTCTCCACCTCATGGCGGAGGAGACCCAGTTCTGGGGTCCAGGCCCCGGCGAGGCCTGCTGAGTCCTGTTTCTCCTTTGGTAAATGTTCCCACCCTTCCTTCCCAGGGCTCGTGTCTGTGTTTCTGAACCAGAAGGTGTTTACACAAAACATCCTGGGTTTGGCAACAAATTTACCCTCAATGAGAAATCCTTAACGAGTCTCCTTTTTCTCCACACCAGGCAGCTGCAGGGAAAACAGCTCTGCCTCTGGCGGTTTAAGGCAGCCAAAGGCCAGGCAAAGAGGAGGTGCCGCTGAGACTTATGGGGCCACAGTTTCAGGGTCTAGAGACAGCTGTGGTATGAACACCCACCAGAGAGCTTCTAGACCCGCGTGTGCTCCTGACTTTCTGCATGACACGGCACTGCCCTTCTCCCAGCCTCAGTCTGCAGCTGTGAAAGGGGCAGGAATAACCCACCCATACAAAGGTTGTGAAGTTCAAGTAAGGGAAGGGGTGTGAAAGCGCTTGGTCGCAGGGGCCAAAAGGAGGGAATAAAAAGCTGGACTCTGGGAGGCAGGAGGTCAGAATTCTAGTGTCAGGTCTGCTGTTGGCTTTTTAAAGTCATGGCTGCTCTCTGGGCCTGGGTTTTTCCAGCTTTACAATGAGGGGTTTGGGCGTGATCTCTGGGGAACCCACTGGTTGTAAAGGGCAGCCACTTTCTACCTGCCTGCCTCTTCTTGGAGGCCCCCCTGGATCCTATGGCCCACACTGATTTGCGTTTCAGCACTTACAGAACTTCATGGTTTTCCAGCCACTTCCTTTGGTCTAGGTACTCCGGACATTGGGCCCAACACCGGGGCTCAATAAACACTGGCCAAACTGAGTTGAAAAGTGATTCCTGCCTCTTCTCATCCTGCAGAGAGACCCTGAGAAATATTTTTATTCACTCCCATTTCATAAATTATAAACATAAGGTCTCAGAGGTTAAATATAAGTCACACTGCTACATGGGCTTCCTTGATGTTCCTTAAACAGGAAGTAATAATTTCTATTTCTCCAGCCCTATCTCGGCCAGCTATAGTATGTAATTATTTTTTTGGTCATCAGTTGTTGGATTTTCCCCTTAGGATGAAGTTTCACGAGGGCAGGGACTTTGTTTTGTTCACTGCTGCATTCTCAGCTCCTGAAACTGCCTGCTTAAGAAATGTATGAAGAGCCCTAGCCGGCGTGGCTCAGTGGATGGAGTGTCAGCCCTCGGACTGAAGGGTCCTCGGTTCGATTCCAGGCAACTGCACGTACCTTGGCTGCGGGCTCCATCCCATGCCCAAGCGTGCGGGAAGCAATCGATCCATGTTTCTCTCTGTGTGTCTCTTCTTCTCTCTAAAAATCAATGGAAAAAATACCCGCAGGTGAGGATTAACAACAAACAAACAAAACCTATGAAGAGAGAAGGCAGAGGTTAAGAGGAGCACTGAGGACTGTGCTCTCTGGGCCTGCAGGGGGCGCTCCAGCCCCGCCCCCAAAGGTAGGCCCTGCCCCGGGTGCACTGGAGCGCGCGCGCGCCGCCGGGCCTCTTCCCATTGAGCATGCGCGCCGGAAGCCCTGTCAGAGCGGCGCGTGCGCAGAAGGGGCCGCAGCGGAGCCAGAGCGGGCCTGGAGCCGGAGCAGGGTCGGAGCAGGCGGGCACCATGCTGTCACCCGAGGCGGAGCGGGTGCTGCGGTACCTGGTGGAAGTGGAGGAGCTCGCCGAGGCGGTGCTGGCGGACAAGCGGCAGGTAGGAGGCGCGTCCGCCGCGCCGGGGCCCGGGCTCAGCGGTTGGGCCTGGTGGCGATCGCCGTGGGGAAGTGCGCGGGGTCCGGAATCTGGCCCCGGCACCGGCTGGCAGTGAGTTTACCGGGACCCGTGGTCTAAGGGCTGTGGCGACAGACGTGGCAGATGGAGGTGATGTGGGCACCGCGCCGCGCCGCAGCCATTTATGCAGACCTACGTGATAGGGGAGCGCCCGCCCTGTGCCAGCCGTCCTCTCTCCATCCTTTCTTTGCCCTTTACTGTGCCCTCCAGTTCCCGAACCATCACCCCTTTGGGCAGTTTACCTGAACCCCTTTTCCAAAAGGCAGTTCTGGGCTCCCTCATTGGCCTGGGCACCGTCCCAGTCAAGGCCCTGGAGGGGAGAAGAGGAACAGCAAAGCGGTCTGCGTGTCTGTGATTGCGCAGGGCTGGGCCGTGGGAGGAACGTGGACCCCGGGCGTGGCGGGCCTCGGAGACCTGAACAGGGAGCTCGGCTCTGGTTCGAATGGAAGTGCCAAGTGGTTGAAGGGAGTTGCGGGGGGTGGGGAGGAGGGGAACAAAGGATGAGGTACTGGATTAAGGTTTTAAAAGGATCCCTCTGGCTTCTCTGTGGAGCACAGTAAATACAGCAGCGGTTCTCAACCTGTGGGTCGCGACCCCTTTGGGGGTCGAACGACCCTTTCACAGGGGTCGCCTAAGACCATGGGAAAACACATAGATAATTACATATTGTTTTTGTGATTAATCACTATGCTTTAATTATGTTCAGTTTGTAACAATGAAAATACATCCTGCATATCAGATACTTACATTACGATTCATAACAGTAGCAAAATTACAGTTATGAAGTAGCAACGAAAATAATTTTATGGTTGGGGGTCACCACAACATGAGGAACTGTATTAAAGGGTTGTGGCATTAGGAAGGTTGAGAACCACTGAAATACAGGAAGGCAAGGGGCCATTGGACCAGGGTGGTGGCGGTGGAGACAGCAGAGGGGGCAGTAATATATTTTGGAGATGGGCATGGTTTTGTTTTTCTTTAGAATTGTATATTTATTTTGACAAATTTCGGGCAGTGGCAGTAAAGATTTTGTTCTACTAAAATCAATACAACCTCATCACTTTTCAATTGGTAAGTCAAGCGTTTTAAGAAAATGGCACAATAAAAACTAGCAGTGGACCAGCCTCGATGTGGCCTCCTCTTTACCACCTTTGTTGTAAGTGTTTTCTCTTCCAGTTTAGGGTCCTGGGAGAATGTCAGCGTAGCTTCCCCTTAATCCACTGCCATCCGGTTAGTAGGTCTTGATGATGGTTACGTAGGGGTCAGGGAGTAGGAGGAGACAAGAATGATTCGTGACTCCCCATCTTCAGTTGGGATGATTGTTTGGAGGTTGGGTGGGTATTTACTGAGAAGGGGAAGAACCTATTAATCAGGGCATCAGTGTGCTGAGTGATGATGATAATAGCAGGTTGTGAGTACTCACCAGGTGCAGGCACTGTGCTGATAATACATCGCGTTCCTGGCTCAGTAACCTGTGAGGAAGGTGAAGTCGCACAGTTACCAGCGTGCAGCAGGAGTCAAACCTGGGTGTTCTGGCTCCAGAGCCAGTGCTCTAAAGCCATATATGGTACCCTCTCCTCACTCTGTAGTAGCTGTTGTGTTGTTACCACCATTTCAGTGCCTCCCTTCTGTTCCAGTCTCGTATTGTTGGGCTTCTCATGATACGAGGTCAGAATCAGCTGGAGGGGCTTGCCCCGGGAGAAGTTTCCACTCCCCATGATCCTAAAATGCCCTAAAGCTGAGAACTAGCGCTCTGGTGGAGAAAAAATAATTATCTGTTTAGTCAGCATTTTCCCAGCACCTTCTCTTGGGGGAAAACATCTGCACCACACACGGTCTTTAAAAGGATCTGGAAGCTGAGTGGGGGAAGAGGTACATCACACACCCGTCTGTCTTAGACAGGACACTGGGAGTAGCCCAGGAATGATGCCTTGTTGTCTCTGTTGGGTGTTCATAGAGAGGTGGGTCTGTTGGAGCTGACAAGCTGGGGCGAGCAGTCGCTGAGCTCCCTCCTGCCTCTGTGCTTTTCAGATTGTGGACCTAGACACCAAGAGGAATCAGAACCGAGAGGGCCTGAGGGCCCTGCAGAAAGAGCTCAGCGTCTCTGGTAAGTCACGACTCCTCACTCCAGCCCAGGAGGCCTGTGCAGTTTTCCGTCGAAGGCCTTTGCCTTGTCCCTAACAGAGAGCAGGCAGGAGGCTACAGGTGTGCGACACACCCATGAGATGGGGGAGGAAATTTCTCAGGTCTCACACAGACTGTGGCTCGGGGTTTCAGCTGCTCAACTCCATGACAGGCCATTAGGTGCTGGCTTCTCAATGTTGGCACTGGGGAAGTACAGGGAGAGGGTATAAATCAGTACAAATGAGCAGAACAACAGAAATACGTAATTGAAAATGGTGAGAAAGCTGAAGATGGGACTGGAGGTGGGATAGGTGTTGGAGGATAGGATGGGGGCTCTTAGAGGCCACGTGGTTGTGACACAATAAGCAAGGGAAGGGCATGTGATGAAGCTGGAAAGATGGACAGAGGCCAGGCCGTCATGAAGGGAAGAAGTTTGAATTTTACTTAAAGTGCATTGGAAGGTCTAAAACCATTGCTTTTCATCTGACCAGAGTAAAAGCCAGAGTCCTGCAAGAGCCCATGTAACCCAGACCCCTTACACTCTTCCAGCATCATCTCTATTCCCCCTCCCTCACCGACTCCATCCTTACCGGTCTCCTTGCTGTTTCTAACACCCCAAGCACATTACTGATTTTTTTGCTGCAGGGCTCACACCCTCACTTTCTTCAAGTCTCTGTCCAGATGTCACATAATCAGTGAGGCCTTTTCAGACCACCAGGTCCAACAAGTCTCTCCCCTGCTCTGGCATTCCCCACCCCCTTACCCTGCTTTATTTTTCGCTACAGCGCTTAGACCTGCCTGGGCCTGACAAATGATAGCTTTGCTTGTTTATTCCCCTTCCTCCACTATAACTTGAGCTCTATGAGTGCAGGATCTTTGTATTGTTCTGCTGTGTTTTCAACATCTAAAACAATGCCTAGTGGATAGTAGGTGCTCAGAATATTTGTTGAAGGAATTACCATTTTCCATTTCAGAAGATGTGATGGTTTGCTTTGGGAACATGTTTATCAAGATGCCTCACTCTCAGACGAAGGAAATGATTGAGAAAGGTAAGGCCTCCTGGGCATGAGTCAGGGAAACAGCTGCCTCCCCTTGGGGGGGGGGGGGTGGTGCATCTCTGTAGCCCTTTTTTTTTTTTTAAGTTGAGAGAAAACAGTATGTGTGCTGAGCATAATGCTTTATTTGTGGAACAAGTTGGACCACAAAGAACAGAAAATTCAACAAATTGAGGCTTAAAAAATTTGGTTCTGTTTTTCTCATGTAAGAAGTTATCTGGAGTCAGCCATCCAGGACTGGCATGGCCGCTCAGCAGGGTCACCTTAGCATCTTCTCATGGTGGTTGTGTCATCATTGCAGGGCTCATGTCCACGTGCCAGGCTGGAGGAAAGGCAAAGGGCTTTCTCCTTATATGGCAGGGGTGGGGAACATCTGGCCCGTGGGCTGTATAAGGCCCAAGAAATCATTTGGTCTGGCCCTGCCAAAGCATTAGGGGAGACCAAATATAGTAGGCTAAAGTTAAGTTGATAATTTTGTTATAGTGCAAGAATGATGTTATAAATATCCGAATGGCCCTTGGCAGAAAAAAGGTTTCCCACCCCTGATATGGCCTTGCCTTCTGTTTTGGAAATAGGCTGTCCTCCTCAGGGCCTTCTGCTGACATCTCTATGGCCAGAACTAAGTTACATGGCCCCCACAGATACAAGGGAGCCTGGCATAGTGAACTTTTATTTTTCACATCCCCTACAAGAGAGACTGTGTTGAAAATGGGGGTTTGGGGAGAGTGAACCTTAGGGTCGGCAACTAAATAGATGTTTCTCAAATATGGATGATCACAATTTCCAAAGCTCTTTGGAGATGCATCATAAAGGTAAAAAGTCAGGTTGCAAATGCATCCTTGGCTGGGAAAAGGGCAGGTTACACATATTTCCTCTTTTCTACCCTTGAAAATGTATAGGTCAAGAGGACCAGCAAGGTTGCCTCTGTCTCTGAAGACAGGGTGCCTCTATCCCTGTTGAAATAAAAATTCTAGCAAAGGATTAGCTTGGAATAGAAGTTTCTGGTTGTTCTGTGAAAAAACATACACATTATGGTTATAAAATTGAGTTGTCATTGCACTCGGGTGGTAGGCTGGAGGGTGCTTTCAGAGGGGGTTGCTTGCCTGGGTTCAGGATCTGATCTTCAGCTGTCTTGGCCCACAAATGTGGTCGTGTTACTGTGCCGAGAGGGGTTCTGGGACATCGTTATCTATAGTTCTCGGTGATTGACACAGGCTGAACAAGCTTGTCAGAGTAGGGTTACTCATTTACATTGAGCAACCCATTTTATTTTTTATTTTTAATATGTTTTTACTGATTTTTTTTTTTTAGAGAGGGAATAGAGTGAGAGAAACATCATCTCTTGGCTGCCTCCTGCACCACCCCCACTGGGGATTGAGCCCACAACCCGGGAATCTAAGGAATTGAACCTCTTAATTCCTGGGTTGACTCCCACCCACTGAGCTACACCAGTCGGGCGAGCAACCCATTTTAAAAGATTGAGTAGAACCATTGCCCAGACCAGAGGCCCAGCTGATCAGGGGCTTCTCATCAGAAAGAATGAAAGTCTGTGGGGAAGACAAACTACAGTGGGGCCTTGACTTACGAGTGTCCCGACTAACGAATTTTTTGAGATACCAGCTGTCTCTCTGCCGATTTTTTGCATTGAGTTGATAGAGTAATTTGACTTAACGAGCTCCTTAACGAGCTCGGTCTCGGAACAAATTAAACTCGTAAGTCAAGGCCCCACTGTAGCTCTAATGTTCCTATGAGCAGGTGAAAACAGAGCAGGTGGAGAGGATTGCATGACAGATGTATCATCTCAAGTTGAGCTTTGTAGCTTCCACTTCTCATAGTGCAGTTTGCTTTCAGGTGCAGTCTGTTAAGGGAAGATAACCTTTTCTATCCACTGAGGCTAAATAGGTTAAGCTTGAGCATTCAGCTTGCCCATTGATAGTTAGGTTGTTTAGGTCACATGTTACCACAATCATGCTTTTCTAAAAACCCCTTCATGGACTTGGGTTTATAAAATCCCTTAGCCACCCATTTTCCAGTCATCGTAGGGTAGGTCTGCTATAGGTTCTCCATTTTATTTTTCCAGTTGAATTTTCTCTAATTTCACTGTGGAAGGGTGACCTAAAATCCTGATGTTGCCTTCCCTATGCACCAATTAGCCCAAGGTATTTGCATAGTGAAAACAGGCCAGGAGATTGAGAGTCAGGGGACTGGTCTGCTCAGCCCGATCCCGGGCTCACTCAGTGGTTGTGGGCAGGTCACGTTGCTTCTCTAGCCTTTGGTTCCTTCCTCAATTAGTTTCTGAAGTCCCCTTTTCCTTCCGGAATGCTAAGAGCCCTTGCTCTCAAAGGGGCTAGGGAGAGGCTGGCACCCCCGACTGCTTTTGGTCATTCTGTCTGTAGTATAACCTCATTCTATTTGTCCATCTCATTTTTCAGATCAGGATCATCTGGATAAAGAAATAGAGAGACTCCGGAAACAACTTAAAGTGAAGGTCAACCGCCTCTTTGAGGCCCAAGGTATTAGCCTAGGAGGTGGGGAAGGGGGGAAGAAACCAGGAGGGGACAAAACCATCAACATGGACTTAGAGGGCAGGATTGGGAAGCCCCTCCCAGGAGGGCAATGGCCTGGACAGCATGTGAGTGGCACTGAACCTGGGGGCAGGGGGCAGGGGGCAGTGGCTGTCTCTAGCCATCCCGAGATAGAATGGATAAGGAAGTTTGTGGGGTCTTCTGTCACAAATTCTTTCCAGGTTCAGGAATGGCCTGAGCTATCTTACATTTTATGCCAGGGCATGGTGTGGGGACCAGGACAGCTCTGACTCAGAAGCTGAATTTCTAGGTAAACCTTATCACCCACATCTGCCATAGGTATGGCAGAAATCTGGAGGTTTCTGGCCAGCAGAGTCATAATTCTGCAGGTTCTTGAGACTCAGTAGTGGGTGTCAATGTTCGTTGTTCAGTATATTGTAGAGTTGAGGCCCTTCCCTGTCAGACCTCACAGCCAGGTGTCTGGCAGTATGAATGCTGTGTGAGCTCCTTTCCCAGGCCTGACTCCAGGGCCAGTAGGTTGGACAACAGGAGGCCTGAACGCACTGATGGATTGTCTTCTCTCCTTAGGCAAACCGGAGCTGAAGGGTTTTAACCTGACCCCCCTCAACCAGGATGAACTTAAAGCTCTCAAGGTCATCTTGAAAGGATGAAATTCAAGAACCAAGATAAGGGGCCTGAAACCAGCGTCCCCCTGGGATCATGTAGGACCCAGAACGCTCCAGCTTTGAAACCTGCAAGGACAGGATCTACCCTGCAAGGGCTCAGGCATCAGCAACCTGGCCATGGCTCCTGTTTGCAGCCTCTGTGTCTGTAGCGCTGACCGCTCTGTGAAAGCGGAGGGAACCCTCAGCCTGCCAGTGCCTGTGGGCCTGACCACTGGGCTGAATGGACACAAGACCCATTGATAGGCCTAGCAGCCACTGGGTGGGCGGGGGCAGCGCCTGTGGGGGTATGAGAATGACTGCAACAGACACTTCTCAACAGTGGCCTGCTGTTTAAATGGGCCCTGGGCAGGGAAGAAGGGGAAGAGTGGGAGCTTCATTCCAGCATTCCTCTCAGAAAGGGAGACATTTAAAGCAGCATGTGTAACAGAATTGGAATGCAGCAGGAACCTCACAGGTGGTTTCTGAATGAAGGACAGGATCTTGGTGCTTCGTGGTTCACCACAACTATCTGTGGAGCAGACATACCATTTCTCCCCACTCGCTCCATTTGGGCCCATTTTTCCTGCTTGCTCCCAGATGGAGCCCAGCGTAGGTGCTGCTTATCAACCCCCACAGCTGCTTTTTCGTCAGGAAGGCCTTAGAGTCCTGCACCAGAGAGGGGTGAGGGGGACTGCCTCTTCACGTGCTTCATGCATTCAGGATGCCCCTCCACCGCCTCCGAAAGCAGGGCCAGGGCCAGCGCTGCTCTCTGAGTTCCCTTATCGTCAGTGGTCTCGGGGCCTAATGTGAATGTGCTGTGAGGGCAACACGGTATCTTTCTGTTCACTGAGGCTTCAATAAAGGCACCTAATGAATGGATAGCTGCTTCTGTTCTTTACCTCATTTGGTCCTTAATTGAAGGCATACCACCCCCTTTAGGATACCACCCGTGAAGGGCAGTGGTTCCCCCTTGAATGATAGCAGGCTTAGACAGGCACACTGCCGTGCCCCCTGCTCCACTCAGCTGCTGCCGATAGTTTCATTGGAACATAGGCTGCTATGTCCAGATCTTATGTTTTCTTCAAGAGGAACTAGCAATTTGGATTTTTAAGTTGAATTTTCTGTCTTTTAAATATTGCTGACTAGTTCAGAAAAATGTTTAAAACTTTGGTGTTGGCCAAACAAAATACATAAGTCAAATTTGGCTCAGAAGTGCGATGTTGCATCCTTCTGAGTTTTTTTTAGTAGAAATTTGTGTGTGTTTTCCATACTGGCTCAAAGAGTAGGGAGATGGAGTTGGAAACTAAATGGAAATAAACTAAATGTCCACAGTAGATTAAAGGAATTGATGGCTCCAGGTAGTGGGATACTACACAGCTGTAATCAAGAATAAGGAAGCTTTGAGCACTGATTTGGAACAAGCTCCAAGGTTAAGTGAGAAAAGCAAGGGGGCAGGACAGGTGTCTGGTAAGCTGGTGATTTGTATGCAATCACCAATTATTTGGTTCCCTCAAAACAAACTGCATATTTGGGGTGGAAGGGAAGAACATTTTGCTGTTATATTGCATATTTTTAAATATAACTTTAAAAAGTAGGGAGTAGCAGCATTCACTTTGCTAGACACTATCTGGTAGGACTGCCTTGCTCACAATTTCCCTCTAAAATTGCCCCTACCTGTCTGGCAAAGTAGATGCTAGGACAAAACAGAGCCAATTGGATCCTACTGGAAAGGTAGAACCCATGCCTGGGGCTGTCTGGGCTCTCCTCAGTCACAGGGATGAAGGAGGAGGCCCAGAGTGGCTGGTTTCTGGCCTTCCCAAAGCTGACTGGTTCATTTCTTGGACCTGACAGTATTCACTTCCAAAAGCCCTTCCCGTCCCTGGGCAGTCACATTCTGTTATTTGTAGCTAAAAGAACTGTCCTGAAGCAGGAAGAGTGGTAGAGGGAGCTGCCTGGGATCCCCTAATGGGTCCCCCATGCAGCAGTTAGCCCATCAGCCCACTTGTAATTCCTATGAAACTAAGAGGAGGCGTAGGAATGTGGGAATGCTATCTCCTTGCCTGCCGGCACAAGGCTTTCTAGTTTAAAAAGCTCAGCTCCCAACCTCAAGTAGGAAGGTCGAGTGGCCCCTGTCACCCAGATGACTCAGATAAGTCTAAGCAGCCCTGCCTTCCTGACCCATGTCCATCTGAGCAATGGGGACGCTTGGCCTGCTGGCTTTCACAGAGTCGGGGGAGCGCCATGGGTTCCCCTGACAGGCAAGGTCAGGGTATTGTAAGGAGGAGAAGATGTGCGGGGTCCAGTCCTCCAGACTCCCAATAAACACCATCTATAATTGCTTGCTTTGCGAACATAGCTTAAGACAAGTTCCCTAGTCCATGAATCCTTTGCTCTTGGAGGACTCTTACAACCCTAACCTCCTGGGAGACATCAAAGGGTGAAGCCAGGAGGACACCGCTGCAGCCCACGGCATTCCCTGAGCCAAGCCTGGTGCCCAGTAACTTCGAGTAAGGCCTGTGCTCATTTAGTAGACGTGACCTCTCTGGAGAGCCGAATTTGCTGAGTTTTTACTCTTGGGGCCTATTCGCAAAGCCAATCTGTCAAGGTTAAAACCCATCCAGTCCAGAGGATTGGCTGTCTCCCGGTGCGAAGATGCCCAGGGGTCGGTGGGGGAATCCAGGAGACCGGCCCAAGCAGCAAGCAGCAGCTGTGGCCCATCCAGAGGGAGGGAGGCATGTGCTCTGAGGTGCTGCTGTGCTGGCAACGGAGCGGGGAGAGGACTGGACGGCACGGCACCTCCCAGGGACGCTTGCCTCTCAGCGGCTGGGTATTAGCTGGAACCTTTCTTCTGGCCTTGAAGGGAGCGGAACAGCTGCCTCAGCTGTTTTTTTCGATCATTGATGCAACCTGGAAGGGAAGTGGAGTGTTGGCTGGGAGGTCCTGTCCCTAGGAAAAGGGGTTGGGGAGTGGAGCGGCCTGTGCTCCTGCCACCTGTTGAGAGGAGGAGACAGCAGCCGTGCAGCTATGGATGGCTTATGGTTTGCACCCTCAACTGCTGTGGCCCTCAAGCAGGTAATTTTCCTCTTCATGCATCAGTTTTCTCATCTGGAAATCAAATACTTGCTTTATGGGATGAGTGTAAGGATCATCAAAGGAAGGTAACATTCATTGGGGACTTACCTCAGGGGCTGCTTCAGGTGCTGAATGTGGATTAACTTGTTGAGGTCTCACCAGAATGATGTGTAGAAGAAAAAAACTGAGGTTCAGACATGCCAAGTTATTTGCTCCAAATCACACAATAAATAGCAGGTCTGGGTTTTGAACCCAGGCTAGAGGTCAAGTTCTTAACCACTACCCCACATTGCTTTCCTTCTGGTTTCACTCAGTGAAAATGCATTAAAGCTAACACAGAGCCTAGCACCTAACAGGTTAGATGCTGGCTTTCTTCCCTTACCCAACCCCATGTGTCACGCACAGTTGGCTAAGGGACAAGTATTTCCACAGTGTCGCCCCTACTCTCCTGTGTATCCCAGGGAGTCCGTGCTGAGAGGCCACCATGAACATGGGAGACACCTCCTCTCCTGGCACATTCACCGTGTTACCACTTCCTGTTTGCTCTCAGAGCTGGTCCTTGAAGCAATTCCATGGTCACTGAATCTTGTGCCAGGCATATTGATGGCACTCACAAATGCTGGTTGAATGATGAGTCCACATGGCCACAACTACTGACCTGGAGGAGACAGCCATCTTTCTTAGCACCCCAAAACGCCATTCCTAACTCCTAGGTGCTCACTGGTCGTCAAGGCTTCAAAGCTAAGAGCCCACTATATACATCCCCAGGGCTCCGTGGAACCTTAGCTTTAACTGCAAGGGCTCATTCATAACTCCCAAATATTTGTGTCCAATGCAAATCTCTTCTTGGAGTCCTAGACTCATCTCTGAGTCATCTGCTGATCTTTTCACCAGGAGATCCCTCAACATATCCATAATGCATTTCATCAATCCTCTTCCCACTCCCGGCCAGCTCCTCTGGTATTCACCACCATATACCCACCCTCCACTGGATACTTGGGAATTATCTAGAGATTTCTCAAGCAGTGGCTCTCAATCTAGGCTGTGCTTTAGGGTCATCGGGGAGATTAAAAAAATACTGATGTCCAGACCAACTGTATCTTTATCAGGCATTGGTCTTTTTTAAAGCTCCCATGTGATTCCACAGTGCCTAGTCCCTAATAGGTTAAATGCTAGCTTTCTTCCCTTACCCAACCCCATGTGATGCAGCCAAAGTGGAGAAGCCAAGGTGTCCTGAATCGTTGCTACTCGAACAGGGTCTGGAAAACAGCAGCATCGATATCTGAGATGGATTGTTAGCAAGGAGAGCCACAACAGCCCCTCCCTTTCCTACATGCACCTCTCTCTGCAGGTGACTGCTGCTCTTCCCACCAAGAGGTGGAGTCTATTTCCTTGCCCCGTGAATCTGGGCTGGACTAGCTTTAACTAATGGATTGTGGAGGAATGGTACTTTCGGACTTCTAAGCCCAAGCCTGGGTGTCAAGAGGTTTCACTACATCTTCCTCGCCTTCTTGGAACCCTGGGACTACCATGTGAAGAAGCCAGGCAGCACTGCTGGAAGACAAATGACCACCTAAACCAGCCGTGGGCAAACTACGGCCTGCGGGCCGGATCCGGCCCATTTGAAATGAATAAAACTAAAAAAAAAAAAAAAAAGACCGTACCCTTTTATGTAATGATGTTTACTTTGAATTTATATTAGTTCACACAAACACTCCATCCATGCTTTTGTTCCGGCCCTCCAGTCCAGTTTAAGAACCCATTGTGGCCCTCGAGTCAAAAAGTTTGCCCACCCCTGACCTAGACAGAGAGGCCCAGATGACAATCATTATCAACCACCACACATGTCGATGAAGCTATCCTAGGCTATCAAATCTCAGTGCATTGCCAGGTGCCTGGAGCCCTATGAGTGACTCTAGGCGACACCTGAAGAATGAATAGCAAATCAGATAGCTGTTTTAAGCTGTGAGGTTTGAGGGAGGTTTGTTACACAGTAACAGTGAACTAATAGAGAGCATCACCTGGGAACTTGTCAGATATGCAGAATTTTAGGCCTCACTCCAGACCTACTGAATCATAATCTTCATTTAAACAAGATTTCCAGGTGGTTGTATCCACAGCTTGAAAGCATTATGTAGTCATCCTCCAAACACGCAATTTGGCAGACACTAGGGATCTGCTGTGGAAAAGCCATTCACAAACTTCCTCTCCCCTGCCTTCCTCAAGGCAAACTACTTGACATCCCAGGCTTCCTTGCATCATGGGTGGCCCTGTGAGCCAGCTCTGATAGATGTCAGCAGAGGCCCCTGGGAGGGCATCCCTTTTGGGATAAACAATCAAAGCCTGAAGGAAAGGCTTTGGTCCTTGGGCCTCCCTGTTTCTGTCTGCCTGGGACAAGGACATAGTGTCTGGAGTTGGAGCAGCCATCTTGCAACCTGAGCAACCTGAGGCAGCAAGCACGAGCACCAAGGCAACCTACTAAGTGTGGCACAGCAAAAAGAGGCAAGAAGCATCATGCTGCCATGTGCCAGCCCTGTACAGCTAACCCCAAGACTTCCTGTGGCTCAAGACAAATCAGTCCCTCTCTGGCTAACTATCAGTGGCTTTTCTGTTGCTTGCAGCCAAGCCCAATCCGAAATCATACCAAAACCTTTTCATAAAAAATAAAAAGATGCCACAGAGAGCATTTAAAAAGCAAATTACAACTCAGTAAAATGTTTACAATAAGCTTGACAGAGAGGTGTAATTTAACATATTAATATCCAAGGCCTTTACACATTTAAAAAATGTAAACAGCCCAGGCAGCTGATCGATGTTTCTCTCACATTGATATTTCTAACTCTCTATCCCTCTTCCTTCCTCTCTGTAAAAAATCAATAAAATATATTTAAAAAAAAAAAAGATGCCACAGAGAGCATTTAAAAAGCAAATTACAACTCAGTAAAATGTTTACAATAAGCTTGACAGAGAGGTGTAATTTAACATATTAATATCCAAGGCCTTTATACATTTAAAAAATGTAAACAGCCCATTGAAAAATAGATTGAGTATGGACAGCTAACAAAAGAAGAAATGCCAATTAAAAATCTGAAACCTCACCAGTAATCAGTGGAATGCACACGTTGGTGAAGTTTTTTTGTTTGTTTGAGTTCAGAGCTCTTTCCGGAAAGCAATCTGGCTATAAGAAGTCTATTCCTTGGACCCAGTAATTGTATTTCTCGAAACCTGTCCCAAAGAAACAGCCAGACTTTTCAGTTGAGCTTTACGTGAAAGGATGTTCATCATGCCATTGTTTATAAAAGTGAAAAATTGAAATCATGCCATGTGCTCAATTACAAGAAATTGGTTTAGCAAATTTGGCATTTTGTAAGCAAGAATATTTTGTAGCCAGATGGGAACTCAGTTTTGAACTGTGCTAAGGGACAGGAGAGCCTAGCCGTCAAGCATTCAGGTTTTGGAGTCAGACAGACTGGAGTTCAGGTCCTGGCTCACCACTTATAACCGAGACCTTAAGCAAGTCGTGCAACATCTGGAAATTGTTTCCTTATCTGTAAAATGATAATAAAAGCTGCCTAAAAATGAAATGAGATAACATATGTAAAATATTTAGTCTAGACCCGGCACATAAGTGTTTCCAAAAGATAGGCTCTTATTAACATTGTTGAGTGATGTGGAAAATGCTACATGGAAAAGTGGGACTCAAAACTCCAGTCCTATGCCAAATCTGTAAAAGGAAAAAATATGAATATATGAATTTTTTAAAAACTGGAAGGAAGCACACCAGATAGTTAAAGATGGTTATGTCTGGATGATTTTTTATTTCCTTCTTTAGTTTTCAAATATTCTACAATAAGTGTGAATAATTTTCATTTTTAATGTTTTTTTAATGTATTTATTTTATTTCAGAGAGAGGAAGGGAGGAGAGAGAAATAGAAACATCAATTGACTGCCTCCTGCATACCCCCTACTTGGATTGGCTGTCTCCTGCACGCCCCATACTGGGGATTGAGCTTGCAGCCCTGGCATGTGCCCTGACTAGGAATAGAACCAGAGCCTCCTGGTGCATGGGACAAAGCTCAACCAACTGAGCCACACCGGACAGGCAAAAACTCTCATTTTTTAAACACCAAGTTTTCAAGTCAAGCCCTGAAGTCCTTAATTTCTCTTTAATCTATCATGGGAGGGGGGTTGTTTGTCATTGTTTTCTGTTTGCTTTCCTAAACCTTTTGAAATCTACCTCCTGGCAGATTAATAATATCTCTCACTATGTGCCAGGCAGTGTTCTAAGCATATACTGAGATAGAAACTATTTACTCTCCATTTTACAGATGAGGAACAAAGAGGTTAAGTCTTGGTCCAGGTCATACAGCTGTGCCAAGCGGCCAGTCTTAGACTACTTGGAACCTCCCATGACACATCCCTGGTGCCCACTTCCCACATGGCCCCACATACCAAGGTGTGTGTTGGTCACAAAGTTCCCCATTTCTGACAAGTCGGGAACCCCCTCTTCTCTGCTGACAGGGCCATCATTCCACATGAGGTCAAAGCCTCCCACTCGCTTCTCCCTTCCTGTGAGCCTGGACAGGCAGGAGACACAAAGGGTTAAAGAAGGTGCACCTGGTAGGACCCAAAGACCCTGGCCAGCTCCCTGATTCATCCCTGATGCTGCTGGTCCCCACACTGTCAGAATCCCTTCCTTTGCCACCATTCACTGGCTGTTTCCTAGGTGCCCACACAGGTCTCAGAGGGGCTGTCCCCCACTTTTGTCCCTTGGCTTAAACACTTGCCCTCAGTACTTCCGCATTCTCGTTTAAACTCTGCTGTCTCCCCAAACCATAAATTCCATGAAGGTAGGAACTGGGTCTGTTCTATCCTTCACTGTGTCCTCAATGTGTGGCACAGGGCCTGACACACATGAGGCTCAAATGTTTGTTGAATGACTAAATGATGGCAGATATAGTGGACACCTGAGGTTCCCCCTGCTCAGCATCCATTTTACCTTCTTTCAGCCTAAGAGTGCCTCAGTTTTTCTTTTGAGAGCCATCCTCCCTCTCTCACTTACATGGCTCAGGTGAGGTTGACCCCATCCCCTGGGAGGTGGGCACAAGACCTAGGCCTGGTTAATCAGTCATAATGATTGGTTCAGAGAGGGCATGTGACCCAAACCCCACTCATGAGCAATAAGAGTCAGCCCTCAAACTCTTGCTGGAATAATTGAGAAAAAACTAATAAAGAAGAAAGAGATGAGAGGGAATGAGGGACCGGGAGAGGGAGGGAGGGAGGAATGGAAGGATAGAGAGATAGAGGGAGGGAGGAATGGGAGGGAGAAGACAGACCAACCAACACTGACTGAAGTCAGGCCCTGAATTTTCCTTACATACACATTGTTGTAACAACATATAGTCTCTTACTGAGCACTTACTGTAGCTAGGCACTTGACAATAAGTTATCTTGGTAAATTGATCTAACAATCCTGAGATGTAGACACATGAGGAAACAAGGTCAGAGAGGTGAAGTGACTGGTCCAGGGTCCCACAGTCAGGAAATGTCGAGGAAATCCTGCCGGACCAAATCTCAGAAAGCTGTGGTTGGCCCTGCTCTGACCCAAAAGGGCTGAGTCCTTGGACCAGGCTCCAACGCTGTGGGGACATCTCAGTCTCCATCTATAAAATAGCGGGGCAGGCTAGAGTGTCTCTGAGGGCCGTTCAAGTCCAAGGTTCTGAGTTCTATCTCTTCTTGGGTGGGAGCCCCGATTGTCATGTACGGGGTGCCTGAAAGGCTGCCCTCCCCCACCTGGCTTCCATGTCCACGATGTGCAGGGTGTCTTCCAGGAGGCAGGTCTTGAGCTCATAGTCCTCCTGGCTGCTGGCTGTCAGCGATGGGGACGCATTGACCTCCAGGAGCCATCTGGGGAGGGAAAAGAGGGGAGAGTCAGGGTTACCTGGTCCCTGGAGCTCCTGGAACTTCACTGAGAGGCTAGATGGGGTGCCTGGGCCTCACCCTCAATTCACCCAGACTCACTCTCTCCTCTTGTCTAAAACTTTTTGAAAACAATTGATACCCCCCAGGGGCCGGGCTTGGTGAACTGGAAAGGGCATTCCATGTCTACAGGGCTGGCTGTGGCCAGCTCCAGGGGAGTGGTGCCCTGTAGGAGCATGAGCCCAGGATTACATGATTGTTTTCTGTTTTCCAGAAAAGACAAAAATCCAGACTTTTGCGTGACCATCTCCCAGTGTTTAGAGACTGTCACTGAATTTCAATGAAAAAGAAACAAACAAACAAAAATATTCTGAAGGCCAAACTCCAGGTGGCTGCAGGCCAAAGGCAACGCAGTGGCCTCCAGTTTACAACCTCTTGTTTTGTGCAACCCGGTCATTTCCAGCCAGGAACCTGGGCACAGAAGGGGAAGGGCTCACCCAGCAGGTCAGTGGGAGCCTCAGGCCCCACTTTCCACTATCTGCTGCCTCCTCCAAGTTTGTGTCCCCTGTCAGCATCCACTCTGATGCCCCAGCCACATCTTACCCCAGGGCAAAGGAGAGAGACCCCTGGTACCGGACCCTGTTTCTCTGAACATGGGCCCGATTTAGGTCTTGACTCCTCCTCCTGGCTCAGAAAGCCCCTCAACACCATACAGTGACCCTCAGGAGGTGCTGGGCCCAGGAGCTGCACTACTGGCGGGGGCAGCTGGGCCCAGGAGCACTACTGGCAGGGAGCAGCTGGGCCCAGGGGTGACCTCAAGCTGCCAGAACCACCCCAATGGTATCACATGAGGGCCATTGCTGGGGTCCCTGCCACCTCAGTTTGTTCGACTCATCAGCTCAACCTCATGGACACTGAGGGAATGCACCAAATTCTTGACAGGGATCGACATGGTGACAGTACTCCCTTGTAAGGCACTTTGCATCTGGAAAGCACCAGGGCTTACAGAGGGTAATTTTCTTGCCGGTACCAGAGGAGGATCCCTGACTCAGCATATATTCAGGAAAGGCCTCTGAGTGCCAGGCACGAGGCTCAGTGCTCTATACTTCATTTATTCCTCATAGCAATGCTATTGGCACAGCAACCATTTTACAGATGGGCAAACTGAGGCAACAGAAAGTGTGCCTAACGAGGAAGTGGCAGAGCTGAGGTCAAACCCAGGCAGTCTGGGTGGAAAATGTGCCCCCTGGCTCTCCAGGGCAGGGCCACTGGCCCATCCACTTACGGCTTGAGGTCCTGGTCTATGAGAATGTCATAGCCGTACAGCTCAAAGCAGTGCTTGTCACTGATGATCACCTTCTGCACACTCTGCAGGCTCTTGATGAAGATGTTGTCCATGTCACTGAAGAGCGATTCCACTGCTTCTGGCCCGTGCTTGGACGCCAGGTACTGTCGGAAGCGCTGGAGCATCCATTTGCAGCCCTGGGGCCCGTGCACCCGGGTTGGGAGAGGGAGCCTTAGTTAACCGGGACCTGGGCTGCCGGGACCTTCCAACAATCGCCATCAACATGGCCCTCAGGCTTGGACAAGAGGAGCCCATCCCTGAGTCCTGTGGCCAGGAGAACCCCAAGTGTGTCCTTCCTTTTGGGACAAAGACTCTGCAAGCCCAAGGGGATGTGTCCAGCCGGAGAGTATGTGCCTCTCTTCCTAGAGCGTAGCCTAGACTCACAGGCCCAGAAGTCCTTGCCCAAATGCCCTGTGCAGGCCTCTCCCTGGGCCTGCTTCCCTGAAGACAGATTGCACTGACCGTGCATCCCAAGGCCCATGGAATAATGATCAGCTGCTGTTTGTAGTAGGGTCGGGGGGTATGCAGGAGGCCCCCACTGTGCGGGCATGAGGTGGGGGCCAGCTCTCCCTGTGCACTCCTGTTCTGGCTCTTAACTCTTTTTTTTTTTTAAATATATTTTATTGATTTTTTACAGAGAGGAAGGGAGAGGGATAGAGAGTTAGAAACATCAATGAGAGAGAAACATCGATCAGCTGCCTCCTGCACACCCACCACTGGGGATGTGCCCGCAACCAAGGCACATGCCCTTGACCGGAATCGAACCTGGGACCTTTCAGTCTGCAGGCAGACGCTCTATCCACTGAGCCAAACCAGTTAGGGCGCTCTTAACTCTTAGAAGTCATAGAGTTCTAAGTTTGAACCTGGCCTTGTAGGTTATTAGGTAGAAGGTCAACAGGTAGATAGATGATGATGGATAAATAGAAGCATATCTGTCCGGTCAGGAGGACAGAACACATTTTGTTAGAGGGTATGTTAGTTTGGCTTATAACTTAAATATCTAGACACTATGCATGGGCCTCCATTTGTACTCCTGCCCTGGGCCCTGCAAATGGGAAGGGTGGGCTCGTCTGCACTGTGAACTATGAGCCCAAGACAAGCCTGTGCTGGGCTCTCTGGCACTCTGACCCCCCACCCCAGCCGCCCCAGAGGCTGTGCCCGAGGGCAGGAGCCCCGCTTGCTCACCTTCTTTGGGTGGTAGTCAGGGGACGTCTTTTGCACGGCGACATTGGTGAGGTGCACATCTGGCAGAGGTTGGTGGTCAAGGATCAGTGTGGACAAGAAGAGTGAGTCCTGCTCCATGTAGCCCCCAGGGACCAAACTGAGACCCTTCCTTGGGAACTGATGGGGAAGGCCACAAAAATACCCCAGAGGTCACGTGTGGGCTTTAGAGTCCAGTGGGCCTGGGTTCAAATCCTGCCTGCATTGTTACTGGCTCCAAGCCCCTGAGCAAGTCACTTAGCTCCTCCGAGTCTATTTTCCTACATATTTAATGGGAGTACCTAATAGTAGATTGGCCTCACAGAAGTATTTGAAAGATTAGATAACTGTCTATATAGAAGCACCTCTTATAGCCTGGTATAGCTGTTATTATAGTATGATTTTTCAACTCAAGAGGAGAACATTTTCTAACAAATAGAGAGACTAAATATAGAACAGCCATCTCAGGATATTCTGAGCTCTCTGTCACCAGAGGGGTTCGGGCTGGGTGGCCACTTTGTAGGAATATTGAAAAAGTGATCCAGCTTTGGGGTGGGGTCAAGATGGCCTCAAAGGTCCCAGCTCTGAGAGTCTGCCTTTTGCTATCATCACCATGGTGACCACCAGTAACATCGACAACACTTGGCAGCTTACAGAGCATTTCACGCAAATCATCTCATTTGTTCCTCAAATATTCCCATCTCAAAGAAGAGAACGTGAAGCTCCGAGAGGTTAAGTAAGGGACAGCCGTTCAGAACACCCCTCCACCAACCCTCCCGCCCCCACTGCATTTCACCTCAAGAAATGACCATAAGGTGTAACTTTCTCCAGGACTTACTGGGAGGTAGAGGCCCTAGGGAACTAACCCAAGTGTAATTCCCCTAAAACGTGTGTTGCTCCCCGTTTGCTGCATGAAGGGCAGAGGAAGGCGGGCATCCTCGTTAGCACCATTGTTCTAGAACGTCTTCTTTAGAGATTTCCAAAAACTTTTTTTTTTCACATTTGTCTGAGAGTTCTTCTATCTTAATTTCAAAAGGATAAGCACATAACAAACCACTAAATAATAAAAAGAGCTCTTAGGTTTATGGTCAACGGACTTTTGGAAAGTGTGCCAAGGCAGTTCAATGGGGCAAGCACTAAATGGCCGGGACACCTGAGTATGCACATGCAAGAGAATAAGGCTGGACCCCTTCCTCATGCTATACACAAAAATTAACTCCAAATGTATCTTGGACCTAAATATAAGAGACAAAACTTTAACTCTCTTAGAATATAATATAGAAATAAGCAATGACCTTGGGTTAGTCAGGGCTCCTTAGCTGTGACACCAAAAGCATGAGTGACAAAAGAAAGAGTAGATAAGTTGAACTTCATCAGTATTAAACCCTTTTGTGCTTCAGCTATGGCTGGTTGCTCAGTGGTTAGAGCACCAACCTGCAGACCAAAGGGTCGAGGATTTGATTCCTGGTCAAGGGCACGTACCTCTGTTGCAGGTTTGATCCCCAGCCCTCAGTCAGGACACATGTGGGAAGTAACCAGTCTATATGTCTCTCTCACTTTGATGTTCCCCCGTCTCTCTCTCCCCCCTTCCTCCCTCCCCTCCACTTTCTCTCTAAAGATCAATGCAAAAAATATTCTCGAGTGAGAATTAAAACACACACACACACACATACACACACATCCCAAAACAAAAAAATGTTGTGCTTCAAAGAACATTATCCAGAAAGTGAAAAGGTGGATCACATGATTTTTAGGGCAGTGAAATACTCTGCATGATATCATTTTTAGTTTCATATGCAGTGAAATACTCTGCATGATACAACAATGATGAATACACGTCATTATGCATTTGTCCAAACCCATAGAAGGTACAGCCTTAATGTAAATTATGGACTTTGGGTGATTATGATGTGTCAATGTGGGTTTATCAATTGTAACTAATTAATGGGGAATGTTGATAACAGGGGAGGCTATGTGTGTGTATGGAGGCAGAGTATGTGGGAAATCTCTACCAGTGGTTCTCAGCCTTCCTAATGCCGCGACCCTTCAATACAGTTCCTCATGTTGTGGTGACCCCCAACCATAAAATTATTTTCGTTGCTACTTCATAACTGTAATGTTGCTACTGTTATGAATCGTCATGTAAATATCTGATATGCAGGATGTATTTTCATTGTTCGCGACCCACAGGTTGAGAACCGCTGCTTCCTCTTAGTTTTGCTGTGAACCTAAAAATGCTAATTAAAAAAAAGTCCTTAAAAATAAAGGACAACCCACAAATTGAAAAGGATATTTGTAAGTCATGTATCTAACAAATAATATTAAAAAATAGGTAAAGAACTCCTACAGCTCAACAATTAAAGAGACAAATAATCCAATTTAAAAGAGGGCTAAGACTTCGAGTAGACATTTTCCCAAAGAAGATTTACAAATGCCCAACAAGCACATGAAAAGATGTTTAGCTTGTCCAGTGTGGCTCAGTGGTTGAGCATCGACTATGAACCAGGAGGTCAATCAAAGCAGGTTTGATTCCTGGTCAGGGCATATGCCCGGGTTGCGGGCTTGATCCCCAGTGAGTGAGGCATGCAGGAGGCAGCCAATCAATGATTCTCTCTGATCATTGATGTTTATATATCTCTCTCTCCCTCTCCCTTCCTCTCTGAAATCAATAAAAAATTGAACCCTGACCTCCTGATTCATAGGTCGACGCTCAACCACTGAGCCATGCCAGCCAGACTGTTTCTACTTTTCACTATCAGTGTTGAGGTGAATATTTTTGTATTTTGTGTGCATATATGTATATATATTGACTAGTTTATGTATAAACAATATATATCAAACTATATTTGTATGCACAATTATAAAGTCAGGGTAAAAACATGTCTTAATGTTTTGTGATCCAAAGTTGGTTTATTACTTTAAAAGTTGGTGTGTAATATCTGAAGCAAATGTGGCAAAACATTAATATCTGTTCGGTCTGATGGTAGATGCATGGATTTCTGTTATAGTCTTTTCTACAGTTTTAAAATATTTTTAAAATCTTTCAATATTAAAAGTTAAAAACAATTAGAAGGGATGGAAAATGACATACAGCCACTCACTGGGAAAACAGCAAAGCTGCATTCAATAGAAACTAGTGCTGGGCATTGGTTTGTTTGATAAGGGCCCACGATGCCTGGAGATCTGCAAACACTCTGAAATGGGGGAGCGTACCCCTCCTCGTCCTCAGTAGCCACTCTGGGCCTGGCACTGTTCCAAGCACATTACCTGCATCATTTAATTTTAATTAAAAACAAAACAAAATGAAAACAACATGGAAAACAAAAATGAAACTAAAATAAATTTGATGGCTTGCATCTGATAAATGCTTGTTAGATTTACAAAAAAACAAGAACACACACACACAGGAAATGTTGAAGTTGGTAAAATAGAAAAAAATTACAAAAAATTCTCAGGAGGGCCTACTCCCACCCTAACATGCAGGCGAGGCAAATGCATTGCCTTGGACAGACTCTTAATCCAATGATGAAATGAAGGCCGAGAGCTGTGAATCGGCTAAAAGCATCAGCTGGCTCACCCAGATCAGAAGCTCAGCAGCCTCACCTTCCATGCCCATCTCTCCCATATGCAGGCAATCCAATCCTGCTGATTCATCTCTGAACGTTCCTGTACTGTTTACCCCTTTTATCTGATGCTCAGGTCTAAAAATCTTAAAAACATTTAAAAAATATTTTTATTGATTTCCGAGAGGAAGGGAGAGAACATCAATGATGAGAGAGAATCACTGATGGGCTGCCTCCTATCCCCCATGGGGATTGAGCCTACAAACTGGACATGTGCCCTCACAGGGAATTGAACATGACCTGCTGGTTCATAGGTTGATGCTCAACCACTGAGCCACACCGGCCGGGCTTAAAAACATTTTTTTGTTGTTGATATTTTAACCAGATAATAGATTCACAGGATTCAAAAGTCAAAAGGTATAAGGATGTATATAAGGAAATAGCTCCTGCACACCCACCCATTTCTCCTCCTGAAGGCAACTTCTGGTTCCAGATTTTTGTACATCCTTTCAGAGATGTCTGTGCACAGATAAAAGCATAGCTTTATTTTTAACATAATGGGAGTGCACATTTCTCAGAGCTCTATACTAGGTCCCCCCAATTAATGATACAGCTTGGAGATTATTTCATATCAGTACATAAAGCATTCCCCCCCCCATTCCTTTTTAACAGCTGCCTAGTATTCCATTGTGCAAATGAACCATTCCTCTAGTTGCTTCCTATTCTTTCACTCTCACAAACAAGGTTGTACAGTGACTGACCTTTAAACCTCCATTTTCCTACATTGTGAGTGTACCTGTAGGAGAAAGAGCCAGAAGGAGAATTGCTGGGCCAGAAGGTATGTGCATTTGTCTTTCTAGAGGCATTTTCCCGATTGCCTCCTCATAGGGCACCAATGTACACTCCCACCAATAGCGTATGTATCCTCCCGACCTTGCCAACACAGAGTCCCATCAAGTCTTTGGTCCCTACCAGTGAGATGGGTGAAAATGGCATGTGTTTGAGTGAATGAGTGAGCCAGTGACGAGGCACTGAAGAAAAGGACGGGAAAGGATGCAAACGCTCTCCAAAGGGGCTCAAAGTGTCCCATCCTATGACTACTGAGATGTGAATGAGATCCGATGAATACCAATCCAGGTGAATGGCAGGCACACCACCAACAGGACCATCAAGCAGACTGTGTGGGATGAGTTGAACGGAGCAGATCACTGGGGGACCTCCCGCCCCCACAAGCCTGGAAGCTCTCCTGTGCCCAGACCAGAATGTGGCATTCAGCAGGCGCTCAGCTCACATCTGTGGAATGGACGAGCTCTCTCCGGACCCCCAAAGGACAGGAAGGGAAGGGCGCATGGCGGGCGGGGAGGCGGGATCCCAGGATACACTGGTCATCAATGCTGCTGAGTGTGAAGCGGGTGTTGGAGAAGCGGGCGAAGCCATCCCGGTACAGCCAGGCCCGCAGGGGGATGTACTGTGACAGAGGTGGGGACGGAGGAAGACAAAAGGGAGGGGAATAAATACATGTACTTTCACACTTACTAGCTTTTGTACCTGCTGTTCCCTCCACCTGGCGGGTCCTTCCTTCTTTCCCACATCACCCTTCAAGAATCTGCTTCAATATCAGCTTCCTCTGATTCTACCCCCCTCTTTCTCTGGGGTGGGGCAGGGGCAAGATGTAGAAGAAAGCAAAATGAATGGGCTTCTTCTCTGCTCACCCCCAAGTGTGACACCCCCACCTCAGGGTGTGTCCATAGCTCCCATTGGACAGTGGATGAGCTTATCTCCTCATACCCAACATAGAGTAGTGCACCATGAAGGTTTAAACGTTTGTTGAATGAATGAATGAATGAATGAATGGCCTGGCCGGTGTGGCTCAGTGGCTGAGCATGACCCATGAACCAGGAGGTCATGGTTCAATTCTAGGTCAGAGCACATCCTTGGGTTTCAGGCTTGATCCCCAGTACGGGGTGTGCAGGAGGCAGCTGATCGATGATTTTCTCTCATCACTGATGTTTCTATTTCTCTCTTCCTCTCCCTGCCTCTCTCTGAAATCAATAAAAACAACATTTAAAAAAAATGAATGAATGGGTGCAGGGAGCATAGCAACTCCTTGATTAAGAGACTAGGTTCTGGAACGAGGCTGCCTGGATTCTAATCCCAGCTCTCTCTTACCAGCTGTGTGACCCTGAGCAAGTCACTCAACCCTTGTTATCTGTTTCCTCATCTGTAAAATGAGTAATAGAACCTACCTCCCTGGCTAGTAGAGGACTGACAAAGATAAAACATGCTAAATATCAGGGCCTGGGACTTAGTAGGTTCTCAAAGAATGTTAGTTGTGGTTACCATGAATGACAGAATGAATGAAAAAGGACATGTGGGGGGCAAATCCAGATGCTGGGGCGTCTGAGATGGTACAACTTAGATCCATTTACAGCCCCACCCACCCTCAGAGGTCCCCCTGCACTCCTCCAGGCAGACAAAGCCAGACAAGCTCACTCAGGTGCCCCCAGAATGGCTTTTGCCCCCTGGCCCTGAGTCCAGCTGCCCCTTACCCACCCCTGGAGGAGGGCACTTGTCTTAAGTTACTCACCGACATCACCAGCACGTAGACACGCAGGTCAAACTTGCGGCCTGTGAGGCAAGGAAATAATTCCTGTAGCAAACACTGATTGCCAGGCACTGTGCTAGGTTTGGGGGACGTGGCAGTGGACCCACTGATATGAATCCCCAATAAAAAAACACAGAAAGTACAAGGTGCCCCCTCCCCCAGGCAAGAGCAACTGCATGACCAGAGGCCCAGGGAGGTCAAAGACCTTGGTCCAAGAGCAGAGTGGAGGGAGGCGGGGTCCACAGGGGCCAGGTCATGTGCAATTTTTGGATTTTGTTCCAACCACCCCCTCCCCCGCCGTGGGTCGCTGAAGGGTGTCCAATGCCTCTGGCTCCTGTGTTAGAGGGGAGCAGCGGGGACCAGGGCAGCAGCGGGCACCAGGGAGGAGGCCAGCACAGTTGTCCGGGAGAGAGGACAGTGGCAGGGCAGGGATGCAGGTGGCCAGACAGATTCAAGAACTGGGAGCTGGGTGAAGAACCGGACGTGGGAGGGGAAGAGAGGGACAAACTCAGAACGGTCTCTGACTTCTGGCTTAGCAACCAGGGGAGGCTGGGGCTGTACCCCTAGATGGGAGGGCTGGAGAGTGAACCAGATGGTGTGGGAGGACAGGGCTGGGTTTTAGGCTGTGGGGTTTCAGTAGCTGGCAGATGCCCAGGAGGGGATGCTCAGGACTTGGGATGAGGAGGCAGGGTCTCCCCCGAAAGCTGGGAGAAGCACAGAGAGAGGGTGGGGTCACTGGGGGAGACAGGGGAGGGAGGAGAAGAGACCCCAGGGCTGCCCTGGAGAAGAACAGTATCCAAGGAGCTGAGAGGAGGCAAGTGGATGACCAGTATTTAATGCCCCTCCGGCACCTGGCCCTCTCAGATGAGGAGACCCTCCAGAGTCATGCCCCTCCTCACACACAGCCTGCATTTTACAGACCCCGCGTGGGAAAAGCAGATGTGCAGACGCCCTGGGGGAATCTGCAAAGGCTTTATGGGAGGGGACCAGGGTGTGTGAACAGAATCAAAGCCACTGGGTTGTACGCTCCTGCTGGGTGCCTTGTGTGGTGTGTGACTAGATCTCAATGATGCTGTTATTTAAAAACAGGAAAAGAGGGTGTTCAGGCAAAGTGAACAAAGAGAAATAACTCTGCCCAAGGTCATACCGCTGTCAGTGGCAAGGTCAGGATTTGAACCCAGGCCATCTGGCTTCATGGAACCCACAACCACTGACAGACTCACCTTGGGCCCTGGGCCCCTGCAGTTCCCTCTCCCTCCAAATCTACCCACAGGGGACTCCTAGTTGTCATTCAGGTTTCAGCTCCCCCGTCGCCTCCTCAGAGAGGCCCTCCCTCCCTCTCTGTCCCAGCACCCCGCTTGATTTACTCCATAACACTTCGTGCACTCGCTTATTGGTCTGTTTCTGGTTTAATGCTGTCTGCTCATCTGGGGCAGCCAGCACTCAGGACAGTGGCTGGCACTGAGTAGGTTCTTTATAAATATCTGTTGGATAAACGCATGAATGAGTTGGTTCTTGAAAAATGAGGGGAATTTTAGTGAACCACAGAGGGAGTGGGAAGGGCATGCCAGGCAGAGGAGCGGCACAGGCAACAGCTAGGAGGTGGGAGAGTGCAGGACAGATCTCCATCTTTGCATCAAGTCACGCCTGGTGCCAGGCCAAGCCCTCCGTAGGTAGGCTGCTGGTCAAGGCTTGTTGACTGACTGAGTGACCACGCAGTGGAAGAGCAGGGATCAGAGACAATCATCTCACCTCCTATCAGATAGGGGTTTTCGATATAACGCTGCGCTACGTAGTTCTCCACAGGAATTTCTTCTTTCTGGTCATCCGAACTTTTTGAGTCCTAGTTATAGTAATAATAATAATAATAATCATAATAAACATTTATTGAGCATATCCTGTGTACTAGGCACTGTCTTGGGCACTCCACTTGGGGTATACCATTTAATCCTTAAATCAACCCTAACAGGGAAATTCTAATGTTACCCCCATTTTACAGATGAGAAACTGAAACACAGAGAGGGGGAGTGACGTGCCCAAGGTGACATGCTGGTCGGTGGTGCTGCTGGGAAGTGGACCCACACAGACCGGGTCCAGAACCTGGCATTTAACCCAATAGGGCAGCCACTGGCCACATGTGGCTGTGTACATTTAAACTGGTTAAAAGAAAGTGAATTTACATACTACAGCAAGGATGACCTTGAAGAGATCATGCTAAGTGAAAGAAGCCAGACACAAAAGGACAAATATGGTATGCTTCCACTTGAATGAGGTACCTAGATGAATCAAATTCATATAGACAGGAAGTAGAAAGGTGGCCTCCATGGGCTGGCCAGAGGGAGGAAATGGAGAGTTACTGTTTAATGGGTACAGTGTCAGTTGGGCAAGATGAAAACATTCAGCAGATGATGGGTGGTGCTCGGCCTGTGTGGCTCAGTGATTGAGCATTGCCCTATGAACCAGGAGGTCACGGTTCGATTCCCAGTCAGAGCACATGCCCAGGTTGTGGGCTTGATCCCCAGTGGGGGACGTGCAGGAGGCAGCCTATCAATGATTCTCTCTCATCACTGATGTTTCCATCTTTCTCCCTCTCCCTTCCTCTCTGAAATAAAAATATATACATACATTTTTTACAAAGATGGTGATGGTTGCACAACAATGTAAGGGGAAATTAATGTCACAAAACTGTATACTTAAATATGGTTAAAATGGTAAGTTTTATGTGTATTTTGCCACAATAAAAAAGGAAACAGATCAGAAACCCAGTCCTGCCAAGGTAAACATGTGGCTAGTGGTCACCGCATAGGGAAGCACAGGTGTACCCCATTCCCCCTGTAGAAAGTTCCATTGGTCAGTGCTGCCTAGAGCACCACACAGGCCCCGGGGACATCCCTCTCCCTCCTCTGAAGACAGCGGTGATCTCACACACACGTGCGCAGCGCCTCAGCCTGCACAGCCCTTGCCCACTCACACTGTTCCCCGCAGAGTAACTGGGTGAGAACACTGAGGCCCAAAGGCAAGCCTCACACACTTGGTGGGGTCACAGAACAGACCAGTGGCAGGGAGCCCTGAAACCCAGGGATTCTGGCCCCAAGGGTGGCCCCAAGCTATTTCAATACAGAGGCGGCCAGGCCTTCCCTTCTTGGGACCCGGGCGCCCCCACATATGTACTCACGTGGCTGCCAGGGGGATTGACAGCACCCCGGGCCTGCTGGGCCTCCAAGCTGGTGAGCTTCTTCCCAGCAGTGCCCTGATAGTCTCATGGAAGGACTCAGGACACACGGTGGAGGGAGGAAATTCATTTACTGAGCCCCTGCTGTGAGCCTGCTAGTGTAGCAGGTGCTGATGTGTAGGAGTTGGATCACCTTGCTCTTCTCACCCATCCTGCACTATCACCATCTCTAAGGTTCAGAGGGGTTCAGCAATTTCCCCAAGACCACACAGCTTCTGAGTAGTGGAGGCAAGATTGGAACCAGGATTTCTACTGAATCATGTCTTGGGACATGATGGGGAAGAGGGAATTAGGACTGAGGGGCAGTTAACCAAACTGGGTGAGCCGGAGGTCCTGGTAATGCAATGTTCTCAGGTTTTAGGCATATTAACTCACTGCATTCTCAGCAGGTGTTGTTACTACCTCTCCCTCATTTAGTTGGGCACAGAGAGGTGAAGTAACTTGTCCAAGGTCACACAGCTATTAAGAGGCAGGATCAGCATTTGAACCCAGGCAATCTGGTTCCAGAGACTTTGTACCCATGGGAAGACCCATGGGCAGCCCTTCAAGTTTTCAGGGAGGGAAAGAGAGGCTCCTTGTCCCAGTGAGCACAGAGGGTTTAGGGAGGAAGGGGGAGAGGAAAGCTCACCTTCCTCCAGTCCATGATGTCCTTCAGCCTCCGGAATAGGAAGATGCCCTTCCCCTGGGACCGGGCTACCTGGGGTGGGGGTGGATGCAGAAAGGTCAGCATTCCGCTCTTTGTGGTTCCCTGTGTACCCCTATGCCAGGGCCCCTGCCCAGCGTTTCTGTCTCCATCTCCCTCATGGGCCTCCTGCTATCCCCAGAGGAACGGCCCAGCCCAGCCCTGAAGGAAATGGAACAGAGAAGGTGCTACGCCTGGAAGGAGGAAGAAGCAGAGGGGAAAGGGAGAGGCCAGCTTAGCTCACAAAGGCATCAACTGCATGAATAATACAAAAGAGCAGATGATTAAAAACCCATTTCCAACAGTCCTGGGAACATATCATCCAATTCTTTTTTTGGAAATCAATTTGCCTTCCTAATTAGGTTTTCCTTCGGCGAATACTGAAATCAGCCTGCCTTCGCCGAATGCCAGCATGGATAATTCATAGCTTCACAGAGTCTAGGGCCTGGGAGGATCTGTAAGTCAGCACCAGAGGCATTACTTCCTCCTGTGACACCCTCTACCGTGGTCACCTGCCTGGCCTTGCACCTCCACAGGGCCAGGGAGCTCACTCCCCCTCCATCGCAACACAGCCCATTTGTTGCAGAGTAGCTCTATTAGGCAGTCATCCAAAAGGTATATAGTAGGTGTCTACTGTGTGCTGGGCATTATGCTCTAGCAATAACCTCGTGAAGTTTTCACAGCCTAACGTGTTTTGAGCTAAATTTTGCCTGCCTGGCTCTGGTCTCTAGGACGAATCTGATTCCTGGGTCCTTTAGTTATCTTCAGCCGCTGAGCAGGTCCCCCCATGTCATTTTTTCCCTCCAGCATAAAGGCCTTTATGCTGGAGGAAAAAACTCTCATTTCTTTCTGTTCTCCTCTGAGCATGGCCCCGCTGGCCACTGTGGGGCTCTCCGTACAATGCAGGGGCAGGCAGAGCTGTCAGGCGCGGCTGTACAGGTGGCCCCCTGCACGAAGGGCTCCCAGTCATGGGGGCCGTGGGAGCTGAAACCCAGCCTCCTCTGTCTGCTGTGCTGTGCACCCTGGTTCAGGGTTGTGTGTGCCCAGAAGACGGGGTGTCCAAAAGACCGCGGAGCACGATGGGTGGCTCAGGGGCAGCAACATGCACGGCTGTTTTGGAAAGCAACTAATCATCAGTGTGCTTCAAGGGCTCCCAGGAGTTCATGGCCACACAAAAGATTTACAATCACTTCACAGAAGAGGATAATCCAATGTAAACAACGAAGAGGCACTCAACCTCATCAGTCTTCAGAACCATGCAAAGGACAACCGCAGGATGGCACCACTACACACTCCCCGAGTGACTGAAACGGAAGACAGGCAATGTCAGGTGCTGGTGAGGCTGTGGAGGAACCGGAACTCTCACACGTGCTGAGAGGCGTATAGGTGGTTTGGAAACTCTTGGGCAGCATCCACGAAAGCTGAACACAGGCACCCCCGTGGCCTACGCATGCACATGGGCCCCCCCGGGCACGTGCAGGAACGTCCATGCAGCACAACTCATAATGGCTCCAACCTCAAAACTCCCAAGTAGCCGAACTGGTTTGGCTCAGTGGATAGAGCGTCGGCCTGTGGACTGAAGGGTCCCAGGTTTGATTCCGGTCAAGGGCATGTACCTTGGTTGCAGGCACATCCCCACTGGGGGGTGTGCAGAAGGCAGCTGATCGATCTCTCTCATCGATGTTTCTAACTCTCTATCCCTCTCCCTTCCTCTCTGTAAAAAATCAATAAAATATATTTTAAAAAAAACTCCCAAGTAGACAGGTGTTCACTTAATAGAACAGTAAACAACAGTGGTAAATCATAATTTACATTTAACCACACAAGTACAGATCAATATCATGAACGTGATGTTGAGGGAGAGAAACCAGACAAAGTGTAGCCATACTATGTGATTCCAACTATATAAAGTACAAAAGCAGGCAAACAAATCCATGGTCAGAGTGGCCTGGGGGATGGTGAGTGGGGAGGGTCTGAGGGGAGCTGTTGGGGGCTGTTAATGCTCTGTGTAGGGTCTGGGTACTGGTTATTCAAACGTGTTCACTTTGTGAAGATTTATCAAGCTATACCTGTATAAGGTGGACATGTTCTGTTGTATTAAACTTCAGTTTAAAAGGTGGTGTTTTTTTTAAGGTTTATAACTTCTGATGTAGGAACCTTGCCTCCACTGTTGGCTGCCTTCCCCTTCCTCTTCTTCCTGGCTGGCAAACCCACCTCTCACCTTGGAGCTGGAACAGATACCTGTTTTCCCAGCCTCCCTTGCAGCTAGTAGAAACCATGTTTTGGCCAGTGAGACCTAAGGAGACATCTGGTTGGAGCTTTGGGGCTTCTGAGAAAGATTTCCTCCTTGTTAAAAACATTGGGGTTGATGGCTGCGTGGCTCAGTGGTTGAGCGTTGACCTGTGAACCAGGAGGTCACGGTTCAATTCCTGGTCAGGGCATATGCCTGGGTCACAGGCTCGATCCCCAGTGTGGGGCGTGCAGGAGGCAGCCAATTAATGATTCTCTCATCATTGATGTTTCTCTCTCTCTCTCCCTCTCCCTTCCTCTCTGAAATCAATAAAAAAATTTTTTAAAAACACATTGGGGTTGACAAGGGAGGGGAAACAGAGGAAGAGGAGGAGAAAAGAGAGAGAGAGGAGGGGGAAAGAAATGTGTATGGAGGGAGATGGGAAGGGAGGCAACAGAGAGGGAGAGAGAGAAAGAAATGCTTGGCTTCTTTCCTTCTTTCTTCAAATATTACAGTCTAAGGCAGCGGTTCTCAACCTGTGGGTCGCGACCCCTTTGGGGGTCGAACGACCCTTTCACAGGGGTCGCCTAAGACCATCGGAAAACACATATATAATTACATATTGTTTTTGTGATTAATCACTATGCTTTAATTATGTTCAGTTTGTAACAATGAAAATACATCCTGCATATCAGATATTTACATCATGATTCATAACAGTAGCAAAATTACAGTTATGAAGTAGCAACCAAAATAATTTTATGGTTGGGGGTCACCACCACATGAGGAACTGTATTAAAGGGTCACGGCATTAGGAAGGTTGAGAACCACTGGTCTAAGGAGATGATGCCTGCTACTGCAGCAGCCATCTCACACTGATAAGATGACAAGTCTGATGACACAAAGCCAACACACTGAGGATGCAGAGTGAACAAAGAGAAGGAACCTGGGCTTTTAATGGCATTGTTGAGCACACCCCCAAACCTGGAACTTTCTAGTTTAGCTTTCTTGTTATCTGAGATAATGAAATGGTGTTATTGTTTAAAGAATTGTTAGTAACTAACCTCCTAAGGGATTAATCCTAAAGAGTGGAAAATAAATTGGCTACATGGTGATATATCTGGGTAGTTAAGACTGGAAATCATCTTAACTCCAGCAGACTGCTATCCCCGCCCCCCCCCAAAAAAAACAACAACCAAAAAACCCACAATATTTCCAGCCCCCTGTGTTTTTCCAGAGCCTTGCTACCCCCACCCGCCATCAAGAGGTAAAGTCAATGTCCTCTCCCCTTGAACCTGGGCAAGCCTTTAGGACTGTCTCAATTGAGTATGGCAGAAGCAACGTTGTGTGGCTTCCAACGCTGGGACATAAAGGCAATAGGGCATCCACACAGCTTGGTCTTTGGGGATGGCCACCTGGGAACCCAGGCACCATGCTGTGAGGAAGCTCAGGTCGCATGGAGAGGCCCACATGGAGGGCAACGGAGCATTCCAGGCCTCAAACCTGGCTGAGCTCCCACCTTGCCAGCCCTCAGGGACCTGCCCTGTAGGTATCGGAGCAGCCATGAGCCTTTGCTGTCGAGCGCTGCCCAAACTGGAGGCTCATGAGCTAAATAAGACACAATGTTGTTTCAAGCCACTGTGGTTGGGGCTGCAGCAGTAGAACCAGACACTAACTTTAGGGAAACGGTTCATAACAACGGTCAGACCAGCAGCTATTACTCCTCAGATGTCTCCTCTGTGCCAGGATTTACACACATTACCTCCTTAAAGCTTTAAAAGAAAAACCTACTAGTGTATATAGCATCTTATCATCCCCATTTTGCAGTCAAGAAACCAAGGAACAGAGAGGCCAAACACTCTATTCAAGTGGCAGATGCAGGGTAGTTAAAGCTGTACTTCACAAGGCCGGCGCTCAGGCACCTCCTGCAAAAGGCCTGGGAGTACACAGCGAACGTGGTGCGACTTCCGTCATTATCGCTCTTACTTGATAATTTGGGAGGAAAGTATTTCTATAAAAAGGCATGTTATTGATTGGAAAACAATATATGGATTATTAGAATGAACCATACTTTGATTTTGCGCCACCTGTGGCCACTCACAGCCCTCCACCCCCTGCTGCCCTCTGCCTGGCCTGTGGGGGCCATTCACCATGTGACAATCACTGTGTGGCATTTATCTGGTGCTGCAGGTGTGGCCGGTGGTCTCCCCGGCAACCACTCCCTTTTCCCCCTGCTGACAGAGCCCCATTTGGATCGCCTCCTCATGGTGGCCCTTCCCTCCGGGAGGTCTGAGCCCTCACGGTGGTCCTACGCCCCTGCCGTTGGTTCAGACATGGGCCAGCCGGATGCCAGAGGGAGTCTGCTGCACAGACTTCTGGGAAGTGTGTGTCCTTTTTAAAAGGGACACGAGGCTAGAGTGTTCCTTCACTACTGTGGCGGGTGAAGGTGTGAGGAGATGAAGCTGGAGCTGTGGCAGCCATGCTGTGGCTGAGAGGAGCAGCCAGACACTGGGATGGGGATTGAGGACGATGTCAAGCTGCTCAGCTAACCATCCTGGAGTCACCCTATCATCATAACATTGAAAAGTCTCACAGACGTTTAAATTCCAAACCCAAGGGTTTGTTCTGATGTTCCCTGAGCGTGACAGCCAAGCTCTGTCCCACACCAAGTCTACTGAATCATAGTAGTATTGGCCTATCTGCGATGCTGCTCTCAAAAGAAGTCACAGTTAGTATTGCACGTCGCACTGTCATTGTTGCAGGTATCTCAAACATTGTTTATGCTCATGATGACTCTGAGATTATGGTAACTACTGGGCCTGCTGTTAGACTCTCTTTAATTGTTCATGAAAAGCACATATATTACTACAGCATGAAGCATATTCTCATAGTTTGTGTGGTGGCCATCAGAATGCACTCGCAGGCCTCTGCCTGCAGGAGAGTGACCGATGGAGAGCCCCGGCGGCGGCGGAAGTCCACCCTGTGCTTGCCAGGCCTCACTCAGGTTCCAGGCAACCCCTGAGGACTGTAGGGTCCCAAAGGCTGGCCCCTCCTGGGAGACAGGGGCCTCCCCTCAACCTTGTGGAACTTCCCTTAGGCTGCGGCAGGCTGGGAGCCCCCCCACAACCTTCCTCCCTCACTGGGGTCTGACAGCTCTCTGAGCCTCCCCCCACTTCCCCTCCCTTTTCACAGGCAGAACTCCGGCATGTTGAATCTTGTCTTGGCACCTGTTTCTCAGAGGACCCAGACTAGCAGTCTGATAACTGTTTTCAATATAGTTGCTTTCTTTGATAATCAAATATCCTCTGTTGATGCTTTTGGAAACACTACCCTGTGCCGGGGTCCAGACATTGCACCAGATGCTGGAGGCCCAAGACATGAGAGCAGTCCAGAACCCCTGCCCTCTTATTTCAGCTGCTGTTAGCTGGGTCCTCTGTTATTTGATGCCCAAAGCATCCCGACTCTTAGGAGACATCAGTGAAAAAGTGTGACAAGGTCCGGTTCATAAAACAGAAGATACAATGTGGTTCTTCCTGTCCTGCAGTTTAGAAAGAGACCCCAAAGCTGAGAACAGCCCAGGTGGCCCAGACTCATGGCCCTGAATGAAGTGTCAACCAGGTCTGCAGACAAAGAGGGGCTGACAGACAGGCCTGGGCCCTGACAGCCCAGCACCTGCCTCCCAGCCACACCAGGGAGGCTGGAGGAGCAAGGTGGTCCCCACCGTCTGGGTCTTGCCAACCCAGAGGGCCTGTGAGGTGGCAGGGGAGAATGCTCCGATGGAAATAAAGTTTGGATGTGTGCACTTTAACTCTAGACTGGACTTTTAAATTCCAAATCCAGGGGTTTGTTCTTACGTTCCCTGAGAGTGACAGCTAAGCTCTGTCCCACACCGAGTCTACTAAATCAGACTCCGTGGGGGTGCGGTGCTTTACTAAGCTCTCCAGAAAATTCCCATTCACTCTCAAGTCTGAGCTGAACAGTCTCATGACTCAAGGTTTTGTTCAGGGACCAGCAGCAATGGCAAACTCATTAATTCCGTTTTACCGATGAGGAAATGGACTGAGAGGGGTTGAGCGCCTGCTCAGGGTCATAGAGCTCGTAAGTGGCAGATACAGGGTTAGAACCCAGGCTAGTCTGACCAGAAGCACCCACTCCCCACACCTTACACCCGAGACAGTGTGCCTCAGCTACTCAGGAGGGAGAGCAAGTGGGCGCACGCACGCGCAAACACACACACACACACACACACACACACACACCCCCAAGATCCCTCCTCTTAATTACAGCGGTAAAGGCCGTGGGCTGGGAAAAGGAATCAACTTAATACGCAAGTGCTCGTTCCCAATTAGCACAAACTACCATCTGTCGGAGAGGATAATGCCTGCTGGAGCTGGATCCGCAGGTGGTTGCAGTGTTCATCTGCCTAAGCCCTTGTGCTCAGCTTCGCGCCCTCCTCCCTCTGCCTCTCAGGCAGGGAGGCAGCCTTCCCGCAGACCCCGCCGGGGAGAGGGTCAGGAGCCTGGGCAGATCCCGGCTCAGTCTTCGCTCGCTGAGCATTTGTGAAAAGCTGGAATAAGTAGGTCTAGGCTCCTCACCTTCATAGTGGGGCTGGTCGGACCTCCTTCCCAAGGACCATGAGACCTGGGCAGTGCAAGAACGCACTTCCCGTACCCCGCCTCTGTTTTCCTTTACGTCAGGAAGAGAGGCAGGGATCTGAGCTCCAGCAAGGCCCTGGGTCCCCTGCCCTGGTGCCCTGAGGACCACGTGTTCCCCTGCCAAACACTTATTGAGCACCTACGGTGTACTGGCATTCCTAGCTGCGGGGTCCACACGCTGCAGAGAGGAGGAGACGGAGTTGGCCTTCAGGGGAGGCAGGCGGTGCATCTAAGGCTGAATCACCAGGCAGGGTTCTGCCCCAAGGTGCACCCTGAAGGATCCCTGCCCTGCTGCCTGGGACACCCCTCCCCCCAGTCCCTGGCACTGGGCACTCACAGGCTTCATGATCCAGGTGATTCCTGGGTTTTTACGAAACTCCTCCACAAACAGGTGGTACTCGCACGGCATCTCAAAGGTTTTGGGGAAGAAGTCGCACTTGGCTGCCTCCAGCTTTCCTGCTTCGCGCTCCAGCTGTTTCCGGAACCGCTTCAGGTTCTTCACCATGTAGTTCTTGCGGGTCAGCTGAGCAGGGGGATGGATGGGCAGGCCCTTAGCCCACCACCTCCAACCCCGCCCATCCCAACTGCCCCCACCCCTCCATTGTCTGGCCCACAAAGTAACAGTAACTTTGACTGACGAAGCGTAACCTTAGCCTGAGCTTCTGTCAGTCTCCCCACTTTACAGGCGAGGAAGCGGAGGTTCAGAAAGGTTTAGTCAGTTGCCCAGAGCTATGCAGCTAACAGGCAGCACAGCTAGGCTTTGATCCAGGTCTGTCTAACTCCGAAGTTCCTGCTTCTAACCGCTAAGCTGTACAAACCTTTTAAATTTTCCCACCGCTGGCTTCTCCATCTTTGTGGTCTGGTCCCTCCTGGACCTCCCTCCTGTCTCTAGACTCCAAACTGTTCAACGTGTCTCTACCCTGAGATCACCATACACGCGCAAGCATCCTGCTCCTTTGGTCCTTGCACCCCAATCCAACCTGACCCTCACATCTCTACTGCTGAAACGTCACCCAGCCCGTGACCTCCAACCCCACCCCAAGACGGCCTGCTCCTCAGGTCTTAGATCCTTACTCCCTCTCACTAGTTAGCTCGTCGTATATCGAGTGCACATATTGCCCACCTGGCATGCACCCCGAAGTCCCTGACACCTTTCACTATGGTCCTTGTAACCCCAAACTAGCTCTTGCTCATGGCTACAACCAGCGACAGGCCTTGACTGACTCAGTCCCCTCAGCCGACCCAGCTCACCTCGTAGTGGTTTCGGAAGTGACTGATCCGCACGTGTTCATCCATATAGGTGTGGTCGAAGTTCTCCCGGAGCCAGCTGACGTCACACCAGTAGAAATCCCACTCCCCTTCGCTGGGAGTGGGGTGGGACAAAGGTCATGACCTGAGGACCTCAGCACTTCTGGGAGTCTGGGGCCCAGGAAGCTACAGCTAAGGGGTCAGCAGCAGTGTGTCTATTAGGAGTCTCAAGGAGGTGGCTGCGGGCCGCTGCTGACCACACCCTGCTTTGTTAGTTACGCTAGAATGACAACCAGAGAAACATTCCTACCCAAATCCAGGCTGGTGGTTTCCAGTGAGCCCAGATATTACTTCCTGGCACATATTGGCCAGACTGCTATTCTATAATTATCCCCACTATAATTATCCATGTCAGACAGGCACACCCTCCAGGTCACAGCCCCCACCACTCCCTATGGCCTATGACAACCGGCCAACCTCACCCGATCATGTTACCTGCCTGGGTCTTGGTAGCATCCTGGGGGAGCCACCCCCATGCTCACATTACCAAGCAGTGGAATTGGGTAACATTTGCAACCCTTTGAGTTCAAAAGGCCCTCTTCTTACTCAATCCTCAGAGCAGCAGCTCTGGAAGAGACTAGGATCACACCTGGAGCCCTAGGACAAGGTGGGGCTTGCTCACCCAGGACATAGCATCAGGATTCACACTCAGGCCTGCCTGACTCCAAATTCCGACCTTATTCTTCACCACCATGACAGGGAGAGGGACAGAAACCAGACTAATCTATGAAATCTGATACCAGAGCTGGGGTGGAGGTGCTTGAAAAAGATGTGAAATAAAATAATACCTCCATGATTACTTCTAAATATTTAAGTAAAAAATTAGATATGACTAAAGTCCCATGTATCATCTTTCCTGCCTCAAAGGAAGCTACTAGCCTGAATATGGTGTATATCATTTCTATGAATGTTTTTAAAGCTTTACTAGGTACATATGTGTGTATTCATCTACAGCACATGACATTGTTTGGCATGTTTTTAAACTTTCTAATAGCTAATACTTATTGCTTACCATGTGCTTGACACTGTTCTAAACACTTTACAAATATTAACCCTCATAGCAATCCTAAGTGTTAGGTTCTATTATTAAGCCCATTTTACAGATGAGAAAACTGAGGCAGAAAGATATGAAGGAACTCACCCAAGTTCATACAGCCAATAAGTTGCAGAGCTTCTGAGAACAAGCTCTGTGGTTAGAACCACTCCTGACTATTTCCTTTTACAACTTGCTTTTTCATCAACTTTTTGTTTTGGATGAATGAATAAATAATGGATGAATGAATAAATAATGCATTATTCATTCATTCCTCCAACACATATGTGTTGAGGTTATCTTTGTGTTAGAGATGATGTTGGGTGCATCACTGGGTATAAGACATAGGAGGAACCAAAACTACTGGCCAGGTGGTGCATATAATACCACAGTGAATATTAACAATAAACAAAGAAACAAAAAAAAAATAACTCTACAATGAGGAATTGTGAAATATGCCAAGAGCAATCCAGTAGGAGGCCACGAGGCAGGGTAGCTGAGGGACCTATGTTGGGTGGAGGCCACCATGTGGAAGTGATAATTTGACTGAGGTCTTAACAGTAAAGAGGAGGGAAGGGCAGGAAACGAGGCCCTGAGGTTGGAAAGAACAGGTTCAAGAATGTGAAAGGCCAGAGTAGAGGGACAGAGGTCACGGATGATGCTGAAGAGTAGGGCAGGGCCCAATTAAGCAGTGCCTTGTAGGCCATGGCGCAGATTTGGGGTTCTTTTCTAATTCTAAAAGTTCATTCATCTGTACCTCATCTTCATGATCATCACAGTCAAGTTGCTCTGACATCACCCACAGAGACATTAAACTGCTCAACAAGGGCAGCCGGGATTCAGGCTCCTTCTACCTTCCCGTTCTGCCCTCCTTCACATGTTGTCCTCATGCTCATCACCCAAGGGTCACAAGACGTTGTGGCAGTTCTAGGCATCACGTCACCTTTCTTGGTGGGAAGCAAGGGGAGAGACAGCTCTGGCCACATCTATTCCAAATACCTGACAGGCCGATGGTCTGAACTGAGACCTCGTTCTATCTGGAGATACTCGACCTCAGTTTAGGTCCAAAAGGGTGAGGCCTCACATCCATAGAGCCATGTCTGGTGTGATGGCCCTGGCCTCTGGCCCTTCCCGATTTGAGGACCCTGAGGCAATTTAGGATCAGTCATGAAGCAACCTGCTTCATGGACTCCCACACCATTAGCACCAGACAAACCCTCAAGCCACGGAGCAAGGCTGAGGAGGGGCAGTGGACAGCCTGAGCCCACAGAGCAAAACAGGAGAGAGCCCCTTCCTGTACAACACATTCATGTGCCAGTCACCTCACCTTCCTCGAATTCATCCCAAGGCCCGCCCCCATCCTCCGTTACACCAGGCAGTGGGAGTCATGGATTCATCCTTTGGCTTATTTGTTCCTTCATTCACTGTGAGGCTGCTAAAATAGGGCAGAGATGAGCCTGAGACTCTGCAGACAGAGTACAAATCCTAGCACAAGCCCATACAAGCAGAGTGACCTCAAACATGACATTTTTTACTCTTTTGTGTCCAGTTTTCTCATCAGTAACATGGGGATAATAATAGCACCTACCTGGAAGGTTTGCTGGATAATTCAAAGAGGTTGTGCATGTAAAGCGCTGAACTATTGTTATGCAACAGATATTTATGGAGCACCGTGACAGGATAGCTGGTTGTCCTCCCCTTTTTCTATAGTAGTAGAATCCCAACATTTAACATTCTACATTTTCCAGATTCCCTTGCAGCTAGGTGTGGCCACATGGCTAAGGTTCAGCCAGTGAAATGGGACTTCTGGGTTGTGTCCTTTAAGGGCAGGGCATGTCTTTTCTTGGCTCCTTCTGACCTACGGCTCTTGGAATGTGGATGTAAGGCTGGAGCTCCACCTGAGACCGTGGAGGAAAAGGGCCTCACTCAAGGGATGGCGGAGTGGAAAGCCAGAAGCATATGGACCCCACATTTCCACACCATCTCTGAACATCCTACCTCTGGACTTCAGTGGGAGAGGTAAGTAAACTTCCAGTGTGTCAAAGCCTCTTTTACTTTGGATCTCTGCTACATGCATCCAAACCCTAACCCTAGAAACTAATATTAGCACCTACTATGTGCCAGGCATTGTAAGCGTATTCATCTCAGTATCCTCAGGGCTCAGGATAGAAGAAAAAAATGTAGGCTTAAGTCACTTGTGAAGTAATTTGTTCAAGGTCACAGAAGTAGTAAGTGGCCAGGGGAGAGTAGCCCTTGAGCGGGACCTGTCATCACTAGATTCCCGTCAGCAGGTCTGTGATGGCTGCGCTCCTTGTTTTACAGAGAGCCACAGGACACTGCTGGAACATGGCAGATTTAAGGGCAGGGCATGTCTTGTCTTGCCGATTTACGGCTCTTGGAATGTGGATGTAAGGCTGGAGCCCCATGACATGGAGCTGTGGCATAACCGAGCTGGGTTTGAAGCCCACTTATGTACTCTGTGACCTTAAGCAACTGGCTTAATCAGATGTTTCTGGATGCTTATAAGGCTTAAATAAGACAAAGATAGCACCAATAATGTGCCTGACCCATGTGGGTGCTAAATAAATGTTGGCCCCTGTCACAGACGAACTGGGATGAGTCCCAATAGCCACCCAGAGGAACTGGGAGAAAAACAAAGGGCGACAAGGACCCGTGAGACAAGGGAAGGAGGGATGAGGTGGGGGTGGGGGATCTTACTCCTTTACTTCCACCCATCCTGGCCTGTGGCGAAGGACATCCATAAGAGTATTCATAAGAGTGGTCTTGAACCGGATTGATGCTCTCTGCTCTCTGAAAGACAAGGCAACAGGACCCTTGCTGAGGATCAACTATTTCTCTAGGATGGTCCAGGAATAGGAAAAAAAGGGGAAGGAAGGAAGGCCAAGGTGCATACCTGGAAATGCCAAAAAGTGGGATGACTGGATTTCAGAATTTAGCATATAACATGCAACACTTAAAATAATCAAATTGAACATTATAGCATCTTTGAATCATTGAAAAATAATAGCAACCATTTTATTCAGTGCCTACACTGTGCCGTGCGTAACCCTTATAACTAATGATAAGTATTTGCAAATCCCCTGTTCTGGCGCTCATCCTGAAAGATGGAGCAGATGTGCTTTTCCCTATTCCTTCTATAAGTTCAACTAAAACCCCAGGGCACTAGATTAAAACAAACAAACAGAAGAAGGCTGTGTAAGATGAATAGAAGAAGGTAGACCAGCTAGGGACTTTAGGACCCACAGGACAGCAGGGTGGTGAATTTTCTGCGTGGTTTATTTTTGTTTTGCTTTATTTTGTCTCCTTAGATCCCAGAGGTAAAAAACAAAATGTTTAAATTGACAAATACCAAGTGTTCGTAAGAATGTGGAGAAATGGTAATTACCCTACAGTGCTGATGGGAGTGTAAATTGGATGAACCTTTGGAGAGCAATTTGGCATATTAAAGCCATCAAATACCATTTCATACACATTAGACTGGCAAAAATCTCCAAGTCCAAGTTCTGGCAACAATGCACTAAAATGGAAATTCCTCCCCTGCTGGTCGAAGGCACTTTGGAGAACCACGAGGCAGTATTTAGTATTTACCCTGCACCCAGCATTCCATCTTAGCTCTATACCCTAGATAGACACCCGACATATGTTCTAAGCAATATATGTACAAGGGTGTTCCTTAGTAATTGTTAGTATTTTGTATGGCACTAACCTGCAGCATATACTGTTGGTGGTCCGCCCTTATCCCTTGGACACTCACATTCCTGCGCATGCCAATCAGAGGGCTTTCCACTTCCAGCACCTGTAGCTCTTTGCTGCAGGGCTTTTCCTGGCTCTCCAGAGTCTGCTCTGCTAGTTCTTGGAGCAGAACTGAAGTACCAAGGAGTTAACTGCCCTCCCCCAATAGCATATAACCAATGATGGCTGGAGTTGATGGAGAAGTCCTCCAGCTCGCTCATCATTTAGTTGGGTGACGTCTGCAGCGTGTTCTATGCTATCTCCTAGGAGTCCCAATGGGATTGAGCCCTACTTACCCACAGCAATAACCTGTCAATAATGTACCTTTTACTGGTTTCCTTCCTTTAGCTGACTCACTTCCCTGCCAGTGCTTACTGAAATCACCTTCCAGATAAACGACTTGTCCTCGAATCCTTGGCTCAGGGTTGTGTCTGGAGGAAACCAATACTAAGACACAACCTATATGCCTTTTAACAGGAAGTAGATAAATAACTTGTGGTAAACAATGGGACATATGGAGTAGTTAAATGTATCAGACCTACATGCACAAATATGATAAATACTGAAAATATGATTTTGGGGTTACAAAAGCAGGATGTGTGATATTCACAGTATAATGCCACTATGTAACTTGTATTCTTAGCCACTCATGCAGCTAGGGGTGTCCATGTCACACAGTTCTGGTCAATAAATTAAATATATAAGGCTGGTAAGGAGGGTGGGTTCCTAGGAAGCTTTGTGGGTTTTTGTTTTTTTTTTAAATGTTTTGATGTGTGTGTGAGAGAGAGAGAAAGAGAAGAGGGAGGGAGGAGGGAGGTATTGTGTCTTCCCTCCCCACTTCTTCCCATCTTGATCATGACATGAAGGCTGGAGCTGTAGCAGCCACTTGGTGTCCATAAGGAAAAGATCAAGACAATCACAGAGACACTAGCTCTGACATTGTTGAACTACTGCACCAGCCCTCCAGATTTTATGTTATGTGAAAAAAAATACAATATTTTAAAGCTGCTATTAGTTGAGTTTCCTGTTACTTGTAGCTAAACACATTTCTAATTGATATTTGCCCTAATAAAATATGTGGGTGGATCCTGTTAACTGAAGTGCTCTTTGTTTTGTGGGGGTAGGAGTGGGTGTATAAATTTAGGGCCAGGATCTAGAACAGAGCTGAATCGCTCTGCATAAGAAAGTGAGAGATTTGAAATTGATGGGATAGAGTTAGTATGGAGAGAAAGAAGCAAAGATGGCTGCTGCATGAGAGAAGACGACACGATGGTGGTATAGCCAGGAGGGACTTGAGAGAGAACAAAAATATATAATGAAATAAATAATAGAAATATCTAAAATATTTGCCATGGTGTGTACAAAGTAACTCCCCACACAAATCTTCAGCAAAGTCTACATTGCTCACTCCTGCTTTGTGCAAATGGATTCTATTTAGGAAGTCTAAAGAGGTGCTGAGTTCTGCACCAGGTTACTGATGCAGAGTGGAGCAGAAGATCAGGGTGGAGTTGACATTTGAGTTATCAAGTCAACTTCTCATGGTTGTTAGAGGAGGAGGGAAGGCGTAGTTACATATAACATGGGACCTAGAGTCCAACAAACTCTGCTACTAACTAATCCTATGGTCTTGAGCAAGTTACATAACCTCTCTAAGCTTCAGTTTCCCCATCTATAAAGTGGTCATAATAATAGTATTTACTTCAAAGATTGTGGTAAGGATTCAATGAGATAATTCAGGTAAAGTGACTAGCCCAGGGCCTACCACATGGTAAATGCTCAATAATTGTTTATGTTTATTATTATTATTATTATTATTATTATTATCATCATTATGATTATTGAAGTTAAGAAGGAGGAGGGGGAAGGAAGGAAGGAAATTATTTCTGTGTTTATTAAATTGGGTTGGACCACTCACCGTTCTTTTCCCTTTGACAATCCGTAGCCCTTGTAGTTTTGATTCTGCAATGAGAAAGGAAAAGTGATACAACTAGTTTTGCATGTCCACCTTGCCTTCCCAGTTCCACTTACTGCAAATATTTACACCCTCAAACCACCAGATTCAACACTGTCCAGATCCTGAGACAGTAAGGTCATCCTGGCCGAGTTCTCATTGATCACCATGTGGCCAGCAACTTGGTCCTTGGAATGAATCCCCAAGCACCCAAGGCCCACCTCACTGTAGACTTTCTCCACAGGCGTGACCAGTAGAGTGAATACCTAGTTTTCAATGGTCCAAAGGTCCATCCTGAACCCAAGGTTTGAGGGCTGAGCTCAGCCATCTCTGTGAGAAGACCTTCTACCTCTCCAACCTTGAATGTTTGATTAGATCCATGATTCAGGAGGGGGCTGGGTCAAAGACTCAGAGAAAAGTTAATTTCTTCCACCCAAAATAGACCTTTCAAATTCTCAAAGGGTGGTGGGTATTATTCTGCTTCTACCATACAGCTTGGCCCGCAGCCCTGGTATGACTGATGGCAGATATGAGAAAAGAAATCAGAACTGGTCTTGTGCAGGATCCCCTCTGCAGCTTGGACAGACTTGTCATCTGCATTAGTTTTCTATTACTACATGACAAATAACCACAAACTTAATGGCTTAAAGCAGTGCAAATTTATATCTCACAGTTTATATGGGCCAAGAGTCTGGGCATGGCTTAGCTGGATCCTCTGCTCAGGTATCACAAAGCCACAACAAACATGATGGCCTGGGTTATGGTTCTCATCCAGGACTTGAGGTCCTCTTCCAAACCGTTTGGCAGAATTCAGTTACTTGGGGTTGTGGGACTGAGGTCCCTGTTTACTTGCTAGCCATTGGCTGGGAACTGCTCTCAGCTCCGGACCTAGAGAGTGCTGGTCCCCAGAGGCAGTTCACAACAGGAATGCTTGCTTTCTTCCAGGCCAATAGGAGCATGTCCTCTGATTTCCAACCCTTGTCCCTTCAAGTTAGTCACAATGGAGTCTCCTATAACCTATTGTAACTATGATAGTAACTATCCCCTCAAATTGACAGGCTCTACCCACACTTAAGGGGAGGGAATTACACAAGGTGTGTACGCTGGGGGTAGGAATCTTGGGGGGGGGACATCTAGAATTCTGCCTACCACACCATTCCACCCCTCAAAGAGCTGTTGGAGGAGGGTAATGGGAGGCTGCTCTACAAAACTGGCAGAAATAAGCTTATCCACAGAAGTAAGTAAAATCTTATCCCATTCATCCATTCAAGCCCCTCCAACTACCCAGAACTAGTCAAGTGTCCTCGTCTTTTTTGATTACATTTTTTATACTCTCTCATGTTTTCAATTCCATTTTCCATATGTTTACCTAGCTGCTCCAGTCTTTGAAAAACTTTCGTTTCCTCACTGAATTGCATTGGCACTTCTGTCAAAATTCAATTGGCTAGAGATGTGGGTCAATCTCTAGTCTCTATTTTGTTCTGTTTATTGATTTGTCTATCTGAATGTCACTACCACACTGTCTTAATTACTGTTGCTTTCTAGTAAATCTGAAATCAGGTGGCATGTCCTCCAAACTTTTTTTTTCAAGATTTCTGTAATTTGGGGGTCCATATAAATCAGCTTGCTAATTTCTAAAAAAAATAGTATGTTGGGATTTTTTTTTAATCTTCACCCAAGGATATTTTCTCATTGCTTTTAGAGTAGAAGGGAGGGGGGAAAGAGAGAGAGAGAGAGAGAGAGAGAGAGAGAGAGATGTGAGAGAGACACATCCATTGGTTACCTCCCAAATGTTTTCTGAGGTGAGGAATGAACCTGCAACCCAGGTAGGTGTCCTTGATCGAGAATCAAACCCTCGACTTTCGGGTTCTAACCACTGAGCCAGGGCTAGTAGTTGGGATTTGATTGGAACTGCATTAAATCCAAAGATTGTTTTGGGAAGAAATGACATCATAAAGTATTGAGTCTTCCAATCCATGAATATGGTCAGTCTCTCCATTAATTTAAAGTCTTCATTAATGTCTTTCCACAATGTTTTCTAGCTTTCAGTGTATGTCTTGAACATTTTGAATTTTTCATAGGTATTTGATTTTGTGATGCTATTGTAAGTATGTTACATTCTATGGCAAAGGAAATGAAGGTTGCAGATGGAATGAAGGTTGCTAACCAACTGACTTTAAAATATTGATTATACTGGATTATTTGGGATTACCTGGGGAGGTCCAATGTAATTACTCATTTTTAGTTGTGAAGGGAATTAAGGAAAGGAGTTGCCATTCATGAAAGGTGGAACATGGGATAAGAAGCAGCAGGTTGGGGTAGGAAGTGCTAAATTCTAGAGTAACTCATTTCATTTCTTTAGGTCTCTCTTTTCTCACTTCAAATGGGGGAGATGGCCTATGCACTCCTAGAGATCAGGACTTCACCTTGTGTCCCCATTGGCCAGCACAGTGTTCCACTGGATGGATGGATGGAAGGATGGATGGATGGATGGATGGAAGGATGAGTGGGTTATGAATGGATGAATGGGCAGGCAAGCGGGAGATGGGGCGAACAAATCTCTAAGAGCTTTTCCAAGTCAGGAAATCCGAAATTCGGAGCTTCCCCCGAGTCACAGAAATCGCTGAGCACAGTTCGAGTCCTACAGTTTTGTAAATTTCCCGCCAGCCAGTCTGGTTCGGTGGACTTGCGCAGAGGCTCCGATGGCGCGCGGCATGCCGGGACTTGTGGTCTTTTCTCTGAATTTATAATTTTTGCTCATTCCATCGGAATCCTTCCGCGAGGATCCTACATTTTTAATCCCTCCCTCCCTCTCTTTAGGGACAATGAAAGCACCAGGGTCCTGCTGCACTCCTACCTTCGGTCGTGACATGACGCGATTCCTCAGGGCCCGATTCAAACCGCCACCTCACCGGGCAGGAGCCTTTGCGTCCTGTTGCCAAGGCGACGGAGGGGGTGCCCGGATCCGCCGCTCTGATTGGATGAGCCAAGAGCACTCCTTCTGGAGCGGTCAGCCGATCTGAGAGGCAGGAGGTCATTGCACTCCCCGGTGGCCCAGACCCCTCCACTCCCGCCAAGTTTTTCTCCCAGCCCCACGCCTCCGAAGCCGTAGGACACTCCCGGCCAGAGACTGCCGCGGGCATTCACGGCCCAGAGCCTCTTCCAGCTGAACTCCGCTTGACCTGAGAGTGCTGAGTCTGAAAAGTTGTCAGCTTTTGGAAAATGCAGTGGTTCTGTTTCCTTACTCCGGCCCTCACTAAGTCCCCTGGTCAGTTAGTTGATCAGTTGATAACGCTGCCAGTCACTTCTGCTCTCTCCAGTCACTCTGTAACTCTTGAGCACCGACTCTATGCCAGCACTCACCTCAACGCCTGCAGTAGCCACCTACCTGACCGGTCTGCTAGTGACCTCTATTGCCCTATCCATTCCAGTTTCATTCTCTGCACTGCAGCCAAAGAGCTCTTCAAACACAAATCCGACCTTCGTTCTCCCCTGCATATAACCTGAGGTGGCAACTTATTGATCAATGCACTCTGTACTGGCTCCCTGTCCTTCCCCTCCCTCCCCTCCCCACTACCCGGGGATCTATATACCAATCATAGATGATTAGGAACTATTTTTTAAATTTTTGTTATTTTTGTATAGCAACAAAAATATGTGAGATAGGAATATGTCTAACAAAATGTATGCAAGATATTTCATTAAACAACAAATTCTTATTAAGCATCTACTCTATGTTATCTCCCATTCTTGACTCTGAGGATACAGCAGTGAACAAAATCAACTAGCATCTGCCCTTGTGGAGTTTGTATTCTCATAGAGAAAATTGCAAAGCATTGAAGGACATTAAAGAAGGCCTGAATAAATGGAGGGATATACCATGTACATGGATGGGAAGATTCAATATCAACATAAAAATGTGCATTTTCCCAAATCCAATCAGGAATTTTGAGAGCTCTTGTCAAACCAAAATAACAAAGTGTATGTGTTGAGGCAGAAGACATTTCCCTGCCTATCAGCCCCAGTATAATGCAGGGAGAGGCAAATATCAAGGGAATACAATGGGGATTCTAGAAACAGACACAATGTGTGTGTGTGTGTGTGTGTGTGTGTGTGTGTGTGAACTTGATGTACAATAGAGGTGGTATCATAAATTAGTGGGGAAAGGATGGAGGACTCAGTAAATGGCACCAAGGAACTGGCTTTCCTAGGAATGAAAAATAAATGCCTAATTCAAGTGGATTAAATAATAAATATGGCAAACAAATATTTCAGATTATTAGAAATATGTATATGCACATATATAACATTTTATTATCTCAGGGTGGAGAAGGAGTTCTTAGATAAGCAATAATACAGGGTGTCCCAAAAATGTATATATACTTTGATTGATTATTCATTCCAATGGGTTAAATCTGAAAAGAAAAAACATCAATTGAGCTATCAGCTATTACATGTGTATACATTTTTTGGGACACCCTGTAAAGCACAACTCATAAAAGACAAAATTGATCTATGACTCTCTTGAAATTTAAATTGCCATTTAACAGAAGACATTGTAAATTCAATTAAAAGACAAGCTATAGCCTTGGCCAGTGTGGCTCAGTTGGTTGGGTTTCATCAGGTGCACCAAAAGGTTGCCAGGTTTGATTCTGGGTCAGGGCACATGCCCAGGTTGCAGGTTCCATCCCCCTGATGTTTCCCTCTCTCCCTCTCCCTCTCCCTCTCCCTTTTTCTCTCTCTCTAAAAATTAATTAAAAACCTTTAAAAAATAAAATACAAGCTATAGACTAGGAGAAAATATCTGCAACATATGTAACAGAGGACTAGTACTCAAAGAACTCCTACAGACCATTAAGAAAAATTCCCCCCAACCTGCAAAAGAAAAGAAAAATGGGTAAAAGATATGAATAAAGAAGTTTCAGCAGAATAAAGTTAAATAGCTAATAAGCAAATTGATATATGTAAATATAAACAATTATAATATGTGATTTTATGACCAGCTATATAAAAATAAAAACACATATCAATGCCAAGCGTTTGTGAGCATATTGGGAAATGGGAACCTTTATGTGCTGCTGGTACACTCACACTTTGGAAGGCAATTTGGCAATATTTTGTAAAGTTGAAAATGCACACACATTGATTTCAGTACTTAAGCACCAACTCTATGCTACTGGTTGTTAGCTCTCCAAATACAGCTATACAACCCATGGACTACCTATCATTTTGCCACAAAAATGCAAGTTGACAACTTTTTCTAAAGAAATTCTCACACTTGTGCATAGGTCATATGTATAAAGATGTTCTTTGCAACATTCTTTATCATAGTGGAAAATTAATAGAAGCTAAATGTCCATTACTAGGGTGATGGATGAATAAAATGGGGTATGTTCTAATAACAAAATATTACATAGTGATAAAAGTGAAAGATTCGGGTTATATCAATAAGAAAATATCCTCCAGACCTATTTTTGAGTGAATAAAAGAAGGTTGTAGAATGATAAATATTTTAAAGGTTGCAACTTGTATTCATTATAAACACATATAAAAGCATATTCTATATATTTATGGGTATATAGGTATTAAAAACATTAAAACGTAGACTGATCAACCACACACCAAATGCACAATAGTGGCTGCCTCTGGGAAAGAGGAGAGAGGAAAGGGAACGTCAACTACTTCAAGTTTACTTGCAATGTTTTATTTTATTGAAACAACACGCTTGAAGAAAATAGGTCAAATTATTCTTATCTGGATTTGTTTGTTTTTGTTTTTTCCAAATGAAAAACACACAAGCCATAGTAATGACAGAAAATCAGTACTGCCATAGAGGAAGTTCAGGATGCTTGGGGAACACATAACAGTGGGGTCTAACCGACTCTAACTGGGGTCAGCAAGGCCTGCTGAGGGAAATGGGAGCTGCCTGGTGAAGGGGATGGAAGAGCATTCCAGGCAGAGGGACTGGCCTGTGCAAAATCAGAAGTCACAGGAGCGAAGCTTGTTTGAGGAAGGAAAAGCAGATCAATGGCCAGGAAAGAGTGGAGAAGAGGGGAGAGATGAAGATGCTAAACCTGTGTGTGTTTGTCTCCTTTTCTACAGATGTGGAAACAGAGCCCTAACAAGGGGCATAGATTCCCAGGCCTCCTAACTCCCTGTCAGTTGCTTCATGATTAATATACTGCTGTGCCAGTATCTCCAGCAGGCACCTTAATGGTGTCCTCTCATTTCATCTCATTACAGAACTAGAAGGATTTTTCCCTTCCCATTTTACAGGTGAGGAAACAGGCCCATAGAAATTAAGAACTTTGCTCAAGCTCACAGTGACATAAGCCAGATTCCACAAGGCCCTTGTGTGCTATGAAGCAGGTTGGGACTTTTCCTAGGGGTATTAGTGAGTGTATTAGGTTCTATTGCTGCTGTAATTACCACAGACAACTTGACTTAAAACAATATAAATGTATTCGTTTACAGTGTTGAGGTCAGAAGTCTGAAATGCGCCTCTCTAAACTAAAATCAAGGTGTCAGCAGGGCTGGGTTCCTTCTGAAGGCTTTGGAGAGAATCGGTTTCCTTGCTTTTCCACCTGCATTTCTTGGCTCATGGCCCCCTTCCATCTTCAAAGCCAGCAATCATACCATTCCTCTGCTCCTGTCATCACATACCCTCTGACTCTTATTCCCCTGCCTCCCCCTTTCAGTTATAAGGACCCTGTAACTACATTGGGCCCACCCACATAGTCCGGGGTAATCTTTCCATCCCATGGTCGGCTGATTGATTAGCAACCTCAATTCCGTCTGCAGCCTTAATTCTCCCTTCCCATGTAACACCACACAGTCACAGTTTCTAGGAATTAGAACATGAACATCTTTGGGGATCCATTATTTTTCCTACCATCATGTGCCACTGAAGGGTTCTTAGCAAGAAAATGATAAGATGAGGCCTGCATTTTAGTATCTTTTTGTTATTGGTTTTATAAAACAGTCACTTCATGACTTATTGACAGCAAATTGGGCTTTGCAACAACTTAACACTTTCAACAGATAAACAGTTAATAGTTATTAAATGTGTTCAATCTAATAAGTATACCTGGATGTTTGTTTGTTTTTCCAGATCCTTTAACCCAACAGAGAGTTCTTTTGTACAGGTGACTTGATTATTTTCCCAACAACCAAGTAGGAGTTCAAAAGACTGTTATAATTTCGCCGTTATGGATGAGGAAACAGACCCGGGGGAATTGGGTTGCCTGCCCAGGTTCACAGAGCTGCTAAGGCCAGGGCCATGGTGAGGGACTGGTCTTCAGGCCCATTTAGCAGCAGTTCTTTATGTCATCCATGGGCAGGGCATTCTGGGAACTCAAGTCAGATATCAGCACATCTTAGGTGCAATTTTCCACCTATAATCCGGCATCCGGTAAGTATTGGTTGAATGAATGAATAACCCTGCTTTCACTTCTGTGGCACACGTGGTGATTTTCAAGGTGGGAAAGCCATCATCTCTTGCCCGAGCGGACACAGTAACCTCCTCCCTGGCCTCTCTGCTTTGCTCTCTAATCCACACTCCAGAGAGGAGCCAAAGTGATGGACTTAAGATGTAAACCAGGTGACATGGCTTCCCCAGTTACATCTCCCCATTGGCTTTCCATCATATCGAAAAGAAAACCCTAAACCCTCAATTATGGCCACACATGATCCTGCACACTCCCCCCTTCTCTCCTCTCAGCCTAATTCTTACCACCTCCCTCTGGCTTCCTCCCCTCCAGTTCCACCAGCTCTTTCCAAAGGCCAACCTTTTCCCACCTCAGAGCCTTTGCCCATGCTGTTCTTTTTAAAAACATTTTTTAAATTGATTTCAGAAAGGAAGGGAGAGGGAAAGAGAGAAAGAAACATCAATGATGAGAGAGAATCATTGATTGGCTGCCTCCTACACTCCGCCCCCCCCCCGCCCCCGCCCCCCGCCCCCCCCACCATCACTGGTGATCAAGGCCACAACCTGGCATGTGCCCTGACTGGGAATCTACCATGACCTCCTGGTTCAAAGGTCAATGCTCAACCACTGAGCCATGCTGGCTACCCCCCCACCCCCCATGCTGTTTTTTCCTGCTGGAAATCTCTCCACTCCCCACCACCACCTCTTTCTAATTTTTAAATAGCTGGGTCCTTCTTCTATGTCAGGTCTCAACTTTAATGTCACCTATTTAGAGAGGTTCTTTTTCGCTTTTGTTTCCTTCATAGAAAATTGTGACCATTTGTAAATGCTTTATTTGTCTCCTTGCTTATTTTGCTTGGACACCCTCCTAGACCTGAGGTGTCCAATCTGTAGTTAGCAGACAGATATGGCTGTGAAGCATCTGACATGTGCCTGGTTTGAATTCGGATGTGCTCGAAGTGTAAAATACACACTGAATTTTAAAGACTTCCTACCATAAAAAGATGTAAAATGTGTCATTAATAATTTTAAAATACTGACTACATGTTGAAATAATAATACTTGGGCTATACTGAGTTAAAACATCATTAACAACCTGTTTCTTCTTACATTTTTAATGTGGCTGCTAAAACATTTTAAGTTACACATGTGACTCATGTTCTATTTCTATTGGGCAGCGCTGTTCTAGACTGTTAGCCAATGCAGATAGGAACTGCTTCCCTTTTCTACCTTTGTGTTCCCAGTACCTACCATGTAGTAGGTACTCGGTGAGTATTTGTTGAATAATTTGGTTTTTATGAGAACGCTGGGCTCAGAGAACACCGAGACAGGCAGCCCCAGGTATGCTGTGAATTTGAGGAATAAAGAAACAAAAAAGCAAAGGTTTTCTTTTTCTCCAGTCATCGCATTTCCAACAGGTTCTGTCAGTCCTCTGTCCTTATCTGTACTGACATTCCTGGCATAGTCACCTACTACTATAGATGGGGGAGGACAGCTGGCTCCGCTGCTTCTATTTCAGTCACACAGAAGGTGTCTGGTCTCCATCACTTTATATTCTCCAGCTTTGGTCCTAGTCGCAGAAGGGCTCACCTCAACACACTGAGGCACACAGATAGGGCAGCTGGGACTCCCAGGGGACTTGCCCAGGGTCACCCAGCAGGTCAGAGGGGAATAGGGCCTGGAACCTTGGTCTCCAGAATCACTTTCCAGGACTCTTGCCTCCAACTACATCCTGTTGCCGTCACCTTTACTCCGAGGGACCAGGTGGCTGCAACCCTCCCCTCACCTCCCTTCACCTCTGACTTCTGCGGGGGGGGGGGGGGGGGGGGGGGGGGGAAAAAATTTCCCCGGCCCCG